AGCCCGCGATTGCCTCGCCAAGAGATTGAAGAATGAAGAGAACGAGATTCGTGGAGCAACACAACACTTGTGAAAGCAGTGAAAGATCTTGAAACAAGTCCTTGCGAAGTCGAGTACAAAATACAAAATACAAAGTATACTATATAGAAAAATGAGGAGAAGTGATAGATAACAATTTCACAAAAATGGCTTTTGTACGAAGGCTAAAGTGCTGAAGCTGTCTAAATAAGGGCAAGCAATAATTTGATAACTCATATACATTATTTTGTAGTCCTCTATACTTCTTTCGTTAGTTTCGTATGATGAAAATATGTGTATTTACGAGTGTAAATTATGATGCAGAAGCACGTCATAGGAAAATACTTATGGGTATAGATGCGTATTTCAGTATCTGTGTATTTGAAAAATATAGATGAAGTTAGCAGCCTTGAATGAAGATTGTAGTGATGACAGCTTGTCTGAACCCACAGAAGAGCGAGTTAAGGAAGCCAGGGTGAGTCTATACTTTTGTATGTTACTGTACTTCATCTAACACAGATCATTTCCTCTTTTTCACCAAAATGGTAACAACTGGTACTATCTGGCAGACTGTCTTTTGCTTGTCAGCCCAGTGATGAGTAGTCAAAATGCACCCATTTTAGTTTCATCTGTTTAATGCCAGATGATTTTGCCAAATTTTCATGTCTGCTTTTTAGCATAATACAAAAAAAATTATCTGCTCTGACTAATATAGGAATCGGGGCACTGGAAATATACAACCAAGCATTGCAACACCAGCAGCTTGGTAACAGTGATAGGGCAAGAGAGTTTATCAAAATTGTTAAATGCATCCTTTGTGGCCGAGGTAAGTAAATGTTGCAACAGTTGCTGAATAAATGCTGACATTCAGGTTGATAATTGAATAAATGTTGGCATTCAGCATACCAAGTGCATAAGAATCAAATGTAACTTGTTGTTATTCAAGGTTGATGACTCCACCAAAGATGACGACCAGCCAAGTCATCCAGGACTGGTGTTCAAATATTCAGCGTATAAAAATTTAGCGAGTCTTGCAGAAAATGACTCTGATGATGACAAAGCTGTTGATTTATACCTTGAGGTATTGTGTTGCAGGATTTACGTTTTCAGCAAAATTGTCAGCCATTGGTTTAGAGTCTACAATTGTTGACATCATGTGGGCCATAGATGGGTGCAAATTATTGCAAGATGATCACACTTTCTAGCCATATGTATGTGTTTGCAATTCACCAGGGGAGTGGGATCATCATGACCACAGATCGATGCTTACATGTATGTTAACTGTGATGCATTTCAACCGATTAAATCTTTGGTCAACCATTTCAGGCGGCAGCACTTGATGACTCAGATGTCACATTATGGTATAAAATTGGCAAGCTTGCTGTGAAACTGGGGAATCTCAGATTGGCAAGATATTCATTGAACAGGTTGGTTTGAAGATTAGTTTTTGGACTATAAAGTTCAGCCACACATAAACTTGACTTATGCCCTGCTCCTGTTTCATTCACTTTCCTAAGTTGTACAAATTAGCCATAGCTCTTTAAAATCTAACTTTACCCTTCAGGGATTGAATATCAACTCCAAACATTGGCCATGTTTAGATGAGCTGGTGACGGTTCTTTACGCAATTGGGGATTATCACTGTAAGCCTGCATTATAAGTTTTCAACTGAACATTAACATACTTCAGAAGCAGAATTAGGTTCTTTAAATTACTAGCTGTTAAAGAATCGTCAAGAATTTATATTTTTCTTTACACATAGACTTCGTTATCATTCTTTTAGCATGTTTAATGATTGTATCAAGTGCATTTGAAAGAGATACCTCTTATCCCAAAGGTATGGTATTTACGAAGGTTGAATCATTTTTAATATGATTGAGATTAAAACTTCAATATTTTATCATTAATGAACTACATTTAGTTTGTACAATTTGCAATTTTAAAAGCTTTATTTATCTAGATAGCTTATTTAGTCAGATAAAATTATGCAATCTTCTCTTTCCTCAAGGTCTGATTATCAGGGATAAAATCTATTCAGAGTTTTCAAGTTTTAGAAATGATTACCAGCATCTGAGGTATATTTTAATATTTGCGTGTGCAAAATATGGATAATGTTCAATACAGATTACAGAAAGTCAGAAATAAACAACTGTCAATGTTTCAATGATTTTTCGAATCTTAAATTTAGAGGAATGTCGTGTGCAAAACATGGAAAATACGAGCAAGAACTGGCGTATCAGGTTTGAGAAAGAACTCTCTATCGATGAAACGTATTTTCTAACGTTTTTACAGAGTTTAATATTATATTTAAATCCATTTCAAAATCCTGTAGACAGTATTATTTTTCATTGTATAAACGCATTTACCTGTCTTTAACAAGTTTTCTTCGTTCCTCGTTGTTAATAAGCTTGAATGGCCTTTTTAAACAAATCTCCTGGCTTGGAAAACTGAAATATTTCCCTGTGCATGAGAAGATAAAAGAAATATAGGAGTTTTAGCAAGGATAACTTGCTCCATCTTCGACGGCGCCTAAATTGAATATTTTCAGAATTTCAGTGCAAGCGTCTTGGCGCGAATATTTTCCCGCGGTTTATATACTCTGGGCTCTGATACAACTGGAGCGTTACCCAGAAAGTTTATCCGAATAAAAATCCATTTTGTAGTACTCAATCGAGTATCTTTTGTTATTATTCACGAAACTTGTCGAAATTTTGTGATTATGTTTAGTTATAAGAACTATAGCTCTCGCATAAATTTGAAACAGAAATATAGTATATTTCAAGAGGTATTAATGGTTGTTTCAACCATGAAATGGACTTTTATTTGACAGTCCCTTCAGTTTGACTGTGCTAATCCGAGTCCTTTCCCGCTATTTCAGATCACTTGAATTTTTGGTAGGATGACGGTTGTTTTTGCATTTTTAAATATCCATTTTTCTGCTGTAGTCTTGATTTCTGTATCGAATAAAAATTTTTCAGTAGCTTATACATACAGCACGACTTTTGTGGTCATTAATTTTGGTTCAAAACTTAAAAGAAATTTCAGTTCAAAAATTTTGCTGCACTGCCGGCCAACTGGCACTAAGCTATCGCTACAGTTGAGTCCACGGTGATGTTTCTCCGCCTTCAAAATGCCCGGGTAAAAGGCCATTGCTTCGTGGTAATAATACTTATATTATGCAAAATCTTGCAGCTCATCAACGAAGCGATGGAACTACGTGAGAGGAATCGTCAAAGAAACGTATTTCCCGAGCCACCGGCCATTATTCCTGCAAAACATCTAGCTCTTTACACGTAAGAGTTTTAGGTCAATATTGTTTCCTTCATTCCAACTTCAAGCCATGCGGTCGGTTATGTAAGACTGATAAAAATCCTGAGAGATGTCCCTGATGAAAAGGAAAGCACCTGGTCTTGTGCCGACATTTTATCCCAGCCACTTAATTGTAAGACCTTTATACCGGAGACACGTCCTTTACCGGAGGCACGACCTTTACCGGAGGCACCTTACCGGAGACACGCCTTACCAGAGACACGACCTTCTCATATTCCTGAAGTTGAAACTAGGCTAAACTCGTTTTCTTCCAAACGTTTTAAATCTGTTTTTCATTCTCAGGTGGAGCTCCTTAGGCAATTGTCTTGTTTCATTGTACGACCAAGTTACCTCAGACGATAATTCATATGTAAGTGCACGACTAACATAATCATTATTCGATTCCATTAAACTCGTATTAAATGTTCAGTGGGCCAACCGCTTAACTAAAACCAGCCTTGCAATCTTTGTATAGAACTTGTGCCAAAAAGTAAACTTGGAAAGTTATTGCAAGATTATTATTACACCAGGTGATTCCACATTCTCCTGCATCGTAAAGTCGTAAGCTGCTTGTTGTCCGTAGGAATTCTTCCTTAAATGCTTTATTCTTTGTGTTTTAGAGATTATTCGAAATAATTCATCATCTCAAAAACATTTTACGAAAGGTAAAATGGTGAAAACAGTTTTGAAATGTTATTTATTTCAGTGCCAAAATGTTTTTTTTTCACTCTGGTTTCGAAACTGAAATGTTCTTGTATGTTTAGACAACGAGGACAAGAGAACTGTAAACAGTTTGAAAAGAAAGAAATTTTTAGCTGAGGAAAGTGATCCATTCAACGCACCAAAACGACGTTCTGCTAGGGTACGGACACATCTCAAATATATATGACAAAGCAATATACTTATATACACTTTCGAGATTTGTGCCTGGGCTAACTAATCGAAAAGATGTCTTGGTAGTCAGCGAAGGTAGTACCTTACAAACCTCGTACCCAGGGTAAAGACCTGGTACGAGTACCCTACAATAGGCGGTCGTGGTTTGTATCTGAGAAAGATGTGATTAACGAAGTGTTGATTAAGGAGGAAGCGTTCGACACAAAAGACATCTAAAACTTAGGAATCTCTCCAATAAACTACCTGAACTACCTTATCCAAACGTGTTGGTCCAGTGTAGGGTAGTTTTCGACAACGGGCTGTCGTGGTTGTGCCTTCTGGGAAGAGACATCCCAGACGTGAGGGTTGGAAAAGTATTCATAGTAAAGTAGTTTTGTTTTTTACCATGCAGGTAAACAAGAGCAAGAAAAAACAAGAGGAAGTCAACTACCTCGAAATTTTACAAGACTTTCTTCCCGAAATATTGAGGTAAAGCTGAAAACCATTTCTGCGTCCTGGATCTTTTTGATCTCTATATTCTTGTATTAGTATGGAGTATGTTGGAGAAATTTTGATACAGTATTGTTGATTTGTTCATGAATCTGCCAGTCATTCGATTTATCGTAAAACTTTGCAGAAGCGGGAATCTCATTGAAGGAAGCGATGAACCGCAAAGCCAGGAAATGGATACACCAGAAGTGGGTTCTGAACTGGGTTAGTTATCACCAGAATTAGCTTTTTATGGCAATTTTGGCGTGAGATCTCGCCAAAGATATTGAGTGGTATCCTGGGTTATATAGATGTGAATACTGTCGCGGATATTTCCAGCGAAAACGAACCGCTCGATGTACAAACCTTTGTAAGAAAGCACATGGAAAAAAGGTACGTTTGTTCAGAGACGAATCTAGAAGCTTAATTGGGGGGGGAGGTGTATATTCATATATTTAAGTTTAAAAGAGGGTAAAAACAATAGCTATCAAAATCAGTCAGGGATAAGACGAATATATGAATATGCACCCCCCCCCCCAATTAAGCTTCTAGATCCGTCCCTGCGTTTGTTCTCATGCAACAGCCTCAAAGTAGAGGAAAAGTTCCTCGTTTGTTCATGTGACTTCATTGAATCTTGTATATTTCAGCGGAACACTCGACCTTCTCTGTGATTACGCCCTGCATCTCAGCGAAAACTGTCAGTTTAAATGGTAAGTTTTGTGAGTAAGGTTTCTTTTTAATTTCACTTCGTTTTTCGTACCCACATGGGGTAACTTTCCACACTTCTTAAACTCCCGAAAAAACTTCATTTCTGAGTGTTATCGGGAGCATGAAAAGCTGATAACGAATAACAATGTCTTTGCGTTAATTGTTGTTAGGCCAACATCGCTGGTTGAGGCATTTCTAAAAATTTACAGCCGAGTAAGACCTCACCTGTCACTTCCAGCTCTGTTTTCGTAAGTACTTCAAGTATGTATGTCTAACGAATGCAATCTATCTAACGATCATATGTCTGGTTGGGTTTGCAGGCTTTCGTTAAGTGCTAGGACCATGCATTCGGTGACGTGCTAGAACGATATTTGGGGTGGGGGGTTATTCATATATTCCGACGGATTTTTATTGTAAGCTATTCAGTACATTCACAAGAAATCTGTCGGGCAGAACTGAATATATGAATAACCCCAATTATCGCATGTATTGATGTTTAAGCTACATGCATGTGTTAGATACTCTGAGGTGGGTAAGGGCTATTTTCCATGATAAATGCCATTTCATTGACCTTGGGTATAGTTGGGATTGTTCTTGATATTAATGCATGGTCGTTAAGGCATCCTGGTTTTCGGATACGGGTAGCCTGATTTTGTTCAATACGAAACCTTGTTTTTATTGGGGAGAACTTTTAATTGGGAACTTCGCCTTGAATTTGAGAACCTCAAAACGAAATTGAGAATGTGTGTACATTTTCTACCTTATTTAAAAAGGGTTCATCGGTAATTTGATATATTTATAGACAAGAAAGTACGAAATCAGAGATAATGTCAAATGCGAAGGTAACTGCCATCTTGTTGTTCAAAATTGTTTGTTCGACTATTTTTTCCATTCCTGATTTTTCGATTCTTTACAGCTTGCTCTTGTCGCGATAGAGCTGACCTTAGACAAATGGTGCACAGAGAAATCCAAGTCTTCCTCCAGCCTTTCGCCTGCCGGATCTCCAAGAGGGTACGATGATTGAAATATGTTCAAGCTTTTGAAAAAACATCGAGTTCGACAACACAGAAAATTATAATCATGCAACTTCACAAATGCTCATATACACTAGACTACATAAAGTAAAGACTCATTAACTGACTCAGGCGGGGAAATTTTATATCTCAGGAAAACATTCAAAACATATGCGCCTGTATTCTGAAAGCTCACTCACAGGAACGCTGTAGTTCATTTTTGATATTTTATGGTAGCTACATATGCATTTGAGGTTCGCAAGGCTTTTAAATCTTGAAATATTTAGTACTGTAGCACATCATTTGTGACTTTATATTGATATATAAAACTCAGGTCTTGACCAACTATACGGAATATAAAATAAGGATCTCCTCACAATTTTTTGTACATTCACGTGCTATATCTTAAGTTCCGCATTTTCTTAGTAATAACCAATCCACGAAATTGTCGCCTCTGAAACAAGATTTTCTTGGAAAGTATTTCCTGAACGATCTCGAGTACATAGCACAAGCCACGCACGTGGCCACCAGTCTTTCGGAGAAAGAAGGTCTACAATTTGCTCTCAGAGGTATGTTGATTTTAAATTTGGCGCTTTTGGAGCAAGGGTTACCTGTTTGCGGTTCTTGTCGTGGAAATTTCGGACTTTTTATATCTTACAGAAAATTTAGTTTGGCCCTCTCTCTCCCCCCCCCACCTAGGAGAGCAAAGGTACAACCCTGGGTAGATTTTTCTAGAATTAACGTGATTCCGATCTCACAAATGCGGCTAAATGCACAAGAATCATTGCGGGGCATGAGTTTCGCAAACTGCTTGTTTGTTGAGTGACATCACTCACAGGCGAATACAGACTGTAAAGTTTTGTGGTCATGGTGATGCTTTGCTGCGTGTCAAAAATATTGAGTGAGCTCTGCTGATATGAATGGAAATAGTGAAAAGCAAGAGATGAGTTAAATTAGTCGAAAATCTGTGCAGAAGAATGGCTTATTCTTTAGCCTGTGTATTTTCGAAGGCCCATTCACACTATACAATTTGTCGTATATACGATTCTTACCCTGGCGTATGCGAACGTATGAACACACATGCAAAGGTAGCATTTTAAATTAATATTCCACCCTGAGTGCGGTATGAATAAAGATTATGGGATAGGCCTCTCTTTTGCATTCGTCGGAATGATAATTGCTACCACTTATCGTGTAGTGTAAATAGCCCTTGATACCATGGCATTTGAAACGTCATCAATCAATCAATCAATCGCAAAATCTATCAAGAACAATTAACTGTCTTGACTTCCACGAGGCATATAAAACATGTAAACAAGATATTGCATTTTGTCATATAGGTGCTGTGTATTTTAAATTATGATTGGTTCGTTCGTAGTCACATGACTTTAATTAAATGCAATGTTTTCCAAGTGAAAAATTGTTGCCTGCTTCTTGTCATAACAAAGTAAAGTGGGTTGTTTAACATGTATGTTTTTGTTCCCATATATAAAAACACTTAATGTAAACTACCTCGGGAAATGGTGAGTTTTATTTCCCCAAGAGTCTGAATTTCCCTCGGGAGCATACATTAAGTGTATAATATCCCCCCCCCTTCCCACTGGCGATCTTTAAACTGACGGAGGTCCGAGTCAACGGACATTTATGACGTCATGTTTAGTTGATGAACCATCCCTAAAGGAACACTTAACTGAAAGACGAGGAACTGCGTTGTGAGTGTCTCGTGACTGGTAGGGAAGTGTCGCGTAAGAGGTTTGGGCATGCAGGTTTATTTGGGTTTGTAGTTTTCCCCAATACTGCCAGCAAAGCCATCAGTCAAATCGTATCCTTTCCATGCTTTGTACTGGTGAAGAAGATATTGTGTATAGTAGTGGCAATTGGTTGAGGACAATTCGTTGGTTAGAGTTTTCTGAGAAATACTTAGTTAATCAAGGTAGGATCTTTCTGAGAATTTCTAGCCTTTGTTTAGGACGACGACGCAATAACACAAAGTCAGCGAAGTTTGTCGCGATTTATCAAATGTGTCGTATTCCTTTCGAAAAAGGACAATTCTTTGTTGTTCGGGATTTCCATATATTACATTGACTTTAAAACCCTAATCTTAAGTAAAATTGGTATGCCATTCAAGAGCACGACACAAAGCGATGAAAGCCCCGTTCACACTACACTGAATTTATCGGCACGGCACGGCTAAAATTGGTACCCGTACATAATTTTTTAAGTGTTCAGGCTACCAAAACAAAGGCCGAGAACAGATGAAATGGGCACGGGTACCCATTTTAGCCGTGCCGTGCCAATAAATCGTGTGTAGTGTAAACGGGGCTGAAAAGTCGCTGAATGTGTGTAAATTTAGACTTCCACACAGTGTGTGGGGCACACAGTCAGGAGGGGTAGATTATATGGAACTAGGCTCAAGTGTTATCACTTGTATGCATAAGCCAAACATTGTTGCTGCGTTACGGCCCTTTGATTTCATTGTTTATTTATTTTCTTCGTTTCACTCGCAGGATTGACAAAATATGAATGGGAATACGACCTCGTCGCCTGTTAAAAACCAACCAAATGATATTCAGGAAGTACAGAAATCCTTGGTGCATGTGACTGATTTAGGACACGATGAACACAAGTGTTTACTTGTCGTGAATCAGTCGAATGAAGCCACGATTACCGTGTTTATTTATCCCTCATGGTCCAAACTCTGTGTTGTATCCATTCGTTCGAAAATAATCCAACCAAAAGAAAAGAATCTTATATACGAGGAAGCAAAATTCAAGTTCAAAATTGTAGCTGACTTCAAAGACGATCGTAAAAAAAAGGTTCTGCAAAAACCTATAATCTGGGTGAAAGATCAGTTACTCAGGATCACCGAATCACTGGACTGCACCGCGGAGGACCTCGCCAATTATCCTGAAGAAAAACGTGTCTGCCTTCGGAAGATGCATTTAAGAAATGAACTAAGTATAACGAGTGGCAAGGTGAACTTGTACGATATTTTAGGATTGGATATGGCTGAAATCCGCAAGCTGGACGTTGCAAAACAAAGAACGGAAATTAACAAAGCATTTCGCGAGAAGATTATCATTTGGCATCCTGATAAGAATTTTGGTGATGCTGAGATTGCAATCCAAATTATACAAGCGAGGGAGATTTTACTTGATGATGAAAAACGAGCTTGTTATCATAATGAAGCCGATTACGATGAAGGATGGTTGTCTCCAAAACGCTACATGGCAATTTTCTGGCCCGACTGTTATACCGAAGAACAAAAGACGGCCTATTGGCGTAGAATTTTTCTTACGTGTGTTTCGTTGGGGATTTTCATTGGCGGGGTCGGCTTGACGGCTGTTACTGCTGGTTTTGCGGCCCCGGGAACAGTTGCATGTGGAGCGGTTTTCGGTGGAGGATTAACCGGAGCTGGAATGTTATCTGGGTTTGATACAATAAATAAGAAGTCCGTTACAGGAGAAAGCGATTTCAAGACATGGCTCGCGAAGGCTGGATTCGGGTTTGTAGGTGGCGCTGTCACTGGAGGAGCAGCTGTCGGCATTACATCGGAAATAGTCGGCATCGGAAGTGCCGCGTTGGAATCTAGCGCTGTGACGTTGAGTCAATACGCTGGACTTGGCGCCGCAACTGGTGCCGTAGGAGGTGTGTCGTCATCGCTGACCGCAGATGCCGCGAAGAAGCTGGTTGATGGAGAAGAGGTCACGTGGAAGCAGACCCTTGGGCATGCGTTGGTTGGAGGGACGATCGGAGCGGCTACCGGAAGTTTGACTGGCATGGTCACCAAAGCTGTAGTTAATCGTCAAGAGACTGCAGCCTCGGCAACTCTTGAGGGAGAAATTGCGGAGCAGGTTGTTATACTGACCGGAGCAAGACGCTTCGGTTATAATTTTGCACAAAGCATCAGTCGAAAGTTGACCGAATCTGGAACGAAGGCGGTTATGGAAACGGCGGCTCAGTTCCTCGAAGAACGTCTGGATGATTCCGTTGAAAATCAACATCCGATGGATCACGTCGTTGACGCGGCGAAGAATATGGCGGCCGCTGTCGGTAAGACAGATGTTTGTAGCGCGGGAACTACTGTTTTTGCATCCATCTCTGGTCCACCGAACGTAGAGAAACCTGAGGATGGAACCCTGAGGGGAGAAAACTTTAAAAATGATCAAGTGGAACAAGAAAGCCACTGCCAGATTCGATATGACATGGCTGATAAAAACAGCGAACCTCGTATCGAATGGAAAAAAACCGAAGTGGAATGCAGTTACGAGACACCAGCCAAAACCGGTGAACAACTTCATTCAACTTCTGGCGGTGTTAGTGATGAATTCGATGCGCCAAGTGATGAGGAAAAAGCGGGCGAAGAATCACGGGAAGGAACGATCAGATATAAGTTCGAAGGATTTTTGTTATCAAAAATGATCGTCGCGTATTTCCTAAATGGCCAAAGAATCGAAAAAGAAGCAAGTGGCAGTGGAAAAATTGTCAAAGTACCTTTAGATGCAACAAAAGTTGAGGTCAGATTTCAAGTTATGTGTCCGACTTGGGGTGACGTCATGAAGTACGATCGCTTTACCAATACTTGGTGTGAACCAGCTGAGCCGCACGTATTCAGGTACGAACAGCCACCATCGGAACGCACGTTTACTGTCGACGGTATCTTTCGAATGGCGGTGATAAGAGTAAGTGATTGTTATCACGAGGAAACTAGAGAAATGGAATAGGAGCATTATTCTGACGAGTTTGATTAATTGATTGGTACTTTATTATCTTTACCCATAGAAGCTTTTCAAAGACAATTGCCTAATTACAGAATAACTAATTATATAATAACTATATACTATTAATTAGATACAATTACAAACTAATTATACAAGGAAGAAACTAATTACTTAAAAACTCACTCAATAACTTCGTCTTCAAACAACGTTTAAAAGAATCGACTGATTCGCAAAGTTTTAAGGAGGAGAAAGTTCGGGTGTCGGCGAACAGCAAAGTACGCTATAATTGGGAACGGTTAAATGAAGGAACATGATTTATATGCGATTAAATTTCTGCTTGTACAGCTATTCTAACTTGGAATTATTAAAATTTGGAATTATTAATTATTGTTATATAGGTGCTTTGTATTTTTAATGTGATTAGTTCATTTGTAGCCATTCCCGCCAGGGAAACAAGTGAAAAATTATATTTGTCGTCTTTAGTAGAAAATGTGAAAAAGTATAATAAATTTTATATGAACAACAATTATTTGGAAATACCATAATGTAACACTTGAAAATTGGGAATACAATTGGTAAATGGAAATGATATTAGATTAGTTTTTTAACCCTGGTTAACGAAGGAGTATCATTTGTTCTTAGATGGAAGAAAAAAACTTAGTCACCTTTTTTTTAAGCTTTACTCGATATAGCCTTACTATGCCCAGAAAGTTGGTAAAGGTTAGAATACCACGATCCCTCTCGAGGCCTCTCATTTTTTCGTTCTTTGCAATTTTAAATTTTAATGTGAACCTGATATTTCTTGCAGTCAACTGGGCCAAAGTGCGTTTCATGATGTTCCAAGGTCAGATGAATCTGGCGGTCATTTACTTAGACAGGGTAAGTAATGAATTGTGTGTAATGAACACACCTTTTACTAATCGTCTTGGGCCTTATTAGCGCGGTACATTCTCCGAAATGTTTTCACAAATTCCTATAGTTATAGTAAGAGATTGTTTTAGGAAATGTAATATATTGTTGCCCTTCTCACAAGCTTCTCACAACTTGAAATCGTACAGTACCTGTGACTTTAATCCATTTCCTATCGAAATATTTAAACTGCTTCGATGTTGAAATGAGGGGAGGCTCGTATTTCGAATAGGAGAATACTTTGGAAGTGCTTTAAAATGAAATACCATACTAAAACGAAGCCTGTTATATACAGTTACAACACATGTGCATGCAAGAGCCTCGTCGATATTTCAAAAACAATTTAGAAAATGCCCGCCATAAACACGCCATAACCACGCCATAACCACGCAAAAAGCCTGGAGCGATCATCTTTGGGAAGCGTCGTTAGCACTGAGACTAATTCCCGTTGTTCTTTTCTTTATAGTGTAAAGCATTAATTGAGCTCAGCGAAACTGCCATTGCTGTGTTACTTGTGAACTGCAAAGCCGATAACATCATCAACATCAGTCGGGTCAGAAAAAAACTCGAGTCGCTACAGCGCTGTCAATCTTTGGAAGAGGTTTTTATGTATTTATATCATATTTATATAAATATTAAAAAAAGTAAGTATACTACTGTTCATCAGGAACGCCCCAATGATGCTATTACGGAAAAGGGCTAGCCAACAGACGCATACTGGAGAGTGTTACTGCAAAATGTTGGCAGTTGAACCTCGGTACATCATGTTTACTTTTTGTTTGATCGTTCTGATTTCGTTGATTTCTTTCAATGCTATCCTTTAAATGCTTATATAGGACCTCCTTTGCCCCCCTTTTCCCTGCCTGGAAAAGACTCTTTGCCCCCCTTTTCCCTGCCTGGAAAAGACACAGTTTCTGTGTCCCTGTTGTCCATCTCATATTTGCCCTGTTTACTCTAGGTTCACCGTCTCTACGAGTCAGGACAATATCAAGATGTTGTGGATGTTTTACTCAGCTCTCTTTACCATCCACCTCCCGTTGCAAAGGTGGGCAGTGGTGGTATGTCCATACCAGAACGACCAGCGCAGTTACTGCTGCTGCAAGACTCTTTAATGAAGATAAAAGACTACAAGGTTTGTATGAACGAGATCGTCTTTTGCACTGTAAAAAAAGATTGAAGATTAATAATTTGTTTGGTGACTGTGCTGATTATTCATGCATAGTAATTGTGAATATATCTCTAGCTGTGATTTGTAAAAGTCGAACATTTTTCTCACTATAGAACCATTCATAAGCAAACTTTTATTTAATTTCTTACGTGGACTTGTCCTGTGCCAAATTAATTATTGTTATTTTGAAAGATATTTACTTGTACGCGCCCAATTCCTTTAGTCTAAGTAGCTATACATCCTAATACCTCGTGTTTAAAGTGTTTCTCGTGTTGTATAATTTGCTTGTTTTTCTCCAATACATAAACGAACGAATTTCTTGTAAATCCCAGACGTGCTTGACGTGTGCCGAAGTTGGCTTCAACGAAGCTGTCAGCCAAATGACTCCTTGTGAGGCCTGGGCGACGACGTTTGAGAGAATCTTCACGTGTATGAACGAGTAAGTGTGTTGTTACCTTCCGACAAAGAATAATTTTGTATTTGTTCGACTTTTATCTGTTTACATTTCTTCTCTTCAGTGTTTTGAGTATGGACATCACAATGTTAGATACCTTACCAATGGACAAACTTCAAAGATTGACGCAAAATTTGATCAAGGTATTTGACCAAATGCCAATTGATGTTGACAGTCCTGGGTAATAAAATCAAGCAAAATTCATGCACAAAGGCATTGGAATACCCAAAAATTCCATTCAGGAAATAGACTTTTTGCATTATAGACCACATTTTGATCTAGACAAGGTAATGCAAGTAGAACTGCAAATTTTGTTGCGAATTGTCCTAAATATGGAAAATATAGCCTTACAAAGCTTGCAGATTTTGTGAGCTTGCAATTCACACGGAAATTGTTGCCACATTCAGGCTGAAATTAGTGACAATTTCCCTGCTTGCAAGGCTACAATTTTTAAAAATACTCCCTTCTCGGCTGTGGTTAGTTTATTTCTTGCCTATATCGAAAAGTCGCCTTAATGCAAAAGGTCTATTGATATCTTTATCAAAAATCGTCAACTGTGTGCACTCACCAGGTGATTGAGGTGTCGATGGAGTCGAGCGAGAATGTTTCCGACGTTCCGTTGGCGACGGTCATGCCTTGGATATTGCTGTACAGAATCATGCAAAGGTTGGTCGAGAAAGCGTCCTTCACTCTTTGAAATAGCGTTGGTTACATTTTACCACTGTCAAAACTTAGGTCAAAAAGCGTGCGAGTCTAGTCGTTTTTATTTTACATGTTCTTCGTGTTAGCAAGGAAAGTAAAGAAGATAGCGAGGCGATGGAAGTCGAGGAACAACAAGTGTCACCGACCAAACCTTCGGACAGCGAAAAATCCGAAGAGAACCCAAATAAGGAAACTACACCGCCAAAGGTGACCCAAGTCAGTTTACCGTTATCGTTGCAATTTCTACGCCTGGGGCACGAGGCGCTCGGAGGGTGAGTTCTATTGGTTAACGTTTCTGTTGAAAATATGAAATTTCGTCCAGCGAAAGAGCATGTTGTTATCGACATGTCACTATCTTTCCGCTTTGTTGAGAATTGTGCTTTTGTTGAGAAAAATAGGATGACATGCGCAAAACAAAACTCGTCAAAAGAAAGCTAGTCCTCGCTAAATTGACATAACTTAACGAACATTTCAAAATTGTTCTCTTAACTGATTTCATTTTCCAAAAAAAATGCTCCTAACGCCAACAACAACGACCATCTTTTTTTTATAAGACGAATTTGTCTTACAGGAAGACAGTTCTTTCCATGATTGATTTATCCAGTACAGATTATAAATATGCTCTGTTTAATATAGTCTATTAATTCTGTATAGTTATTCTATTTTAAATGGGTCTCAACAAGGACATACAAACATACAATTTGAAACAGATGAAAATATCCGTTTTTCCTTCCTTACAGTCGTTCTTGGTGTATCAACAGCGATGGTATCTTCCTTTTGCTTTTCGTTGAAGTTTTTTGGAAGCGCCTGCTGGATAAGTCTCCCGCAATTGAACAAAATCGTGTTGTAAGTTTGTACAGATAGTTTTATTCAAACCTCCCAAAAGTTCTCTTTAATATCTTTATTTTATTTTCGCTATAGAAAATGCTGCGAGAACTCGAACAGTGCTTCTTCTGTCTCTACGGCCATCCATCAAAAAAAGCGAAGGTAAGCGAAGGCATGCAGCTGAAAATGCTTGTATTCTGTAGGAAATGGAACCATTGCATGTCCTTGCATGTCCCTTTGAACCAAATTAGGATTAAATCGACATGCAGGAGGTTTTAAAAGAATTTCCTAGACTTGTTTATTCTACCGATGCCTGAAAGAGATTATATTTTCCCTTTAAATGGCCATTGCACGTATCGAAGTAAGTTTTATACTTCTAAACTGACGAAAATTGAATACAGTGTTGTTTATTATCTTTTTAAGGCAAGAGGACTTCAAGAACACGGATCGACACAGGTACAAACGTTTACGGTTTGCAAGTACAGCTTTAATTCATATGCACGAATATCCTGGATTAGTTAATTAATTAGTTCATTAATTAGTTAATGATTAGTTAATTAATCAGTTAATAATTAGTTATAGAGGTAAGGGGGACGTATAGGGGCAATATACCCAATCCATTGGTGATACACTTTAAACCGCGAACATCCTTATATGCCTGAATTTAGTCCTCCCACAAGCAACATTCTCGGCTGCAGCTTATAATTTTTGGTTAGAGCACTTCAGTATCACTGAGGGTTCGATTCCTGCCGGCGAACCCAAGTTCTGTATTTTCCCACCTTCTCGCGGAAAATCCTTCAACGTTTAACTTATGCATAGTTATATTCCCTTTTTAGATTTTGCTAACCTGGCCAAATTCTGAGGTTGTGTTCGAATTCTTCAAGCCCATGGCTTTACCGACTTTTGAGGACAAAACCAACACAGTAACGAGCGAAGTAATTGCATTTCATTGATTTTGCAAGTCGACCTTTTGCTTGCTCGACACCATATTAACTAACATTATTTCATTGGTTCTTTTCTGAGGCAAAAACCACGCGATTAAGAATTCAACGGTTTTGTAATTTTTAAGGTGCAAAATTTGCTGAGAAGAATTACGTTAGTGATACCGCAGAATGAACTAGAAGGTGCGGCATTTTGTGTAAAACAAAAATGGTTGGCTCTTTTTTTTGAAACATGACGATTTCTTGATTTGGATACGTCTGTTGTTTAGTGATCAAAATTGACTCTGTTCAAAACTTCATCGACGGATCCACTGATATCATACCCAAACTTCCGGATCATTTAACTGGAGTGGAAAGGTATTGAAAACGAAATCCAGGTTAACATATGAAACCTAGGCTAGACCAAAGTAATCATCTAATTTCTGTACCGTATTCCTGCCTAGACCTGTAATCAATGAGATATTTTATCTTTTGGCTGATTCGTATTTCAAGAACAAAGAATTTAGGTATGATCCTAATTTCACGTCCAGTCTGTACCTGAGTTATAAAATACACAATTTATTGATAGAGGTTCAAAGGGTCTTAATTTCGAGTGGAATTATACACACTTCAAATTCATAACTGATTTACCCTCACAATTTATTGATATTTTTATTTTCTATTTCAGCAAAGCAATAAAGTTCTATATCCATGACATTTGTTCAAAACCGAATCGTTTCGATACGTGGGCTGCAATGGCGTTAGCGCGACAAGTTCGCTTGGAAGACAAATTACGGGCAGTAAGTAGCTTGATACTTAAAATAGCTTGATATTTATTCCAAACTCTGATCGTTTATCTGAGCCGTGAAGAATCCATTTATCGAAATTAGGCAAGGAACTCTGTCTGTGTCTTCTGATAGAACTATCAATAATTCCTTAGGTAGTATAGTTTTCAACGATATACTAATATGGTATTCAAATTCTTCCTCAGTGTGAGCAGAAAAGCGAAGGACCCATTCAAAAGCATTCAGTTTCCACTTTAAGGTGATAATTTTTCCTTTTTACATTCCTCACCCCATTACAGGAAAATAGCCCGACTGTGTTGTAATGCAACTTTATTCATTTTGTTCTGATGATTTGCCAGGTGTTTCAAAAGAGCGCTTGAAATTGACAGCTCCAATACAAACCTATGGGGAGAGGTGAGTATCAATCGAACTATCGGCATTTCAGTGGTGAATAAAATATGACATTTCTTTCTTTTTTCTAGTATGGATCGCTGTCTTACTGTTTACATTCCTACGCTTCAAGACAGCTGAATCAGGTCAGGGTGTTGTTTATTCAAGATAGAACTAAGCTTTAAACATTCTCTGTAGTAGTCTCCTGAGTAAGATTCAGTATTGCTCCAAGAGAAAATCTTGCTTTTATTGTTATGACATGGATAACTCAGTTATTACCTATTCTTCCTACAAGTCTAGAGAGGACATATCTTATTGTTCCAGCCACAAAGGGGAAAAGCATTATACCAGATAGCTCTATAATAAACAGTTCTTCCCAGAGATCCAATAATCGAATCATTGTTTGATCAATTGATAAACTTTATATTTTTCTGGGCATTCGATCATTTCCAAGCTGATTTCCATTGAGGTTCGAGGTCTTTTATATTGATCCACTGTTGCTATAGGAGGAAACCTAAACTGAACTATTTTTAACAATCATGCATGGATATCAGATCCTCCTTAGAGACCCAAAGAATTAAGGATCATCGCTGCTTGATTTGGGGTTACTGATAGAGCATATCTTATCAGAACTTTGCTTGATACAAGGACAACTTGTGACCCCCAGTATGGTTTTGCTGTGGTTCAGCGTCAATTTGAAACATGTGATTGAGAAGAAAGTATAAGTGATGTACGTAACCCTGCATTTTCAAACGAGATCTACACCAACCATCGTTCATTTTCCCCCCAACATTCCTGAAAGCTTGGATTATGTTTGTGTTTTAGGTGGAAGCGCTCACTCCGGAAAATCAAAAAACACTGGAAGAAAGACGAGAGGACATGTTGGCACAAGCAAAGAAGTGTTTCAACGAAGCCCTGAATAAATCAGACAACGACGAGCCTTGGTTGCAACATTACATGTTGGGAAAAATCGCTGAGAAGACTTCCGGGCCGGCAGAGGAGTATTTAGAATCTTATCTGAAGGTAAACATGTTGTTTTGAAAAATGAAATCAAAACACTTTTTCAATGAACAACTACTGGTTTAAAACATGCTGGATTGTTCGTGGTTTTGAAGCGAACTTAGAAACTTTCATGCAGAAATGGTTACTTCGAGTTTCAGGCGAAAGTGTAGTCCAAATTTCTTTCTAGTTGTAATGCATAATCTTTTATATTCTCTTTGATCCCCTCTACTGTATAACCGCCCAGGGCCGTGACTAGAACGATAATTGGGGGGGTGTTTATTCATATATTCAGTTCTGCCCTGCGGATTTCTTTTGTAAGTGCAATAGCTCACAATGGAAATATGAATATTCACCCCCCAATTATCGTTCTAGTTACGGCCCTGCAACCGCCTGATCAAATATCTCTCGTTTAACCCGTTGAACTCCCCCACAGTGGCACATTCTGTAATTGTTTGCAATAAATGAAATCTTCCCTCAGGCGCTTGAAGAGTTGGATAAAGACGACGCTGAATACCCAAGAAAGATAAGTTATCATAATCCACCTAACTTGGCTTTGGAAGCTTTAGAGGTACGAATATTTTACTAGTTGACTGTAAATAAATAGTAATATGTTATGAATCCCCCTAGCCTAGTCCAGAGGGGGTGCAGAGAGGATACAAATTTTGGTATCAATTCAAGTACATACGGGGGGTTATGTGCGAAAATCAGTGCCTAATTGTAACCATCTTGGTGTATTTGAAAGTCTGGAGTCTTCTGGGCACTGATAATCTAGGTAGCACCTTCTACTGCCTAACAGCTAGTGTTTGTACCCCAACTTATCAGCACCCCTCTTCCAAACTGCCCTGGGTCCATCCCTCCCTTCTATACTGTATCTGGTCCGTACACTTTAACATCTTCATTTCTGCACGAGTTTTGCGTTCACTGTTATAGAAAATCTTTTTAAAAACGTTTTTATAGGTTGCGTTCCGATTTCACAGTTCAGTTCTAAAGCTGCTTGCAAAATGTGAAGATGAAAGTCAGTTTGGTCTATTAAGTCGTTTCCTTGATAGAGTTTCAGCCTCTCCGTTTTACCAAGCCAGATCGAAAGTACATAAAGACGATGAACAAGGTTGGTAACGCGCAAGAAAAATAAACGATGTGATGCTAGTAAAACATTTCCTAACTCCAAAGAATTTTTCTTGAAACAACTCTCTCTATCATACAGTAACTTTGTATCATATGAATTTCATCTTTCAGTGTCCAAGTCTAGTCCGGGAAAAGAGGCAGGAGAGAAGACAGTAATATCGAACAATGACAGTGATAAGTCAAACACAGAACATTCAACGACACCTGTTCAAATAGAAATTGATCTTTCATGCGAGTCAAGTGCTGTGGATAATCAAAATTCGCAAGATACGTCTACTGGCGAAACGTCGAACGCTGATAATAAAGAAGAGGATTTGGAAGAACTGAAAATATCGTCTCCACAGCAGCAGCAACAACAACAACAACAACAAGAGCAGCAACAACAGCAAGAACAACAACCACAGCTGGAGCAACAACAACATCAACAACTGCAGCAACAACAACACCAACCAGAGCAGCAACATCAACAACAACTACAGCAGGAGCCGCAACAACAACAACATCAACAACAATTAAAACAACAGCAAGAACCCTACAACATCAACAACAACAACAACTGCAGCAACAACAACAACAGCAGGAGCCGCAACAGCAACAACAACTGCAGCAAGAAGAACGTGAACAACAACAACAGCAACAACAACAACAATTGCAACAACAGCAAGAGCAAAAACAGCAACAACAACAACTTGAACAGCAACAAGTTCCACAACAACAACAGCAGCAACTCGAATCTGAAGAAGGCTTAAATACAGATGTGCCAAAGGACAATTCTTCTTCCGAGAGCAAGCTCCATGATATGTTGGATGATATGGACACGAGCTCGGATTCACCATCCAAAGACAAGCTGATACAAAGATGCCTCGAAGCTCTGGCTATTTGCTTACGACGTTTTCCACAGCATTACAAATCACAATACCGCTTGGCCCATGCGTATTTGAATGTTCCGTCCGTGAAGGTAATAGAAAGCTATCAGTTTTAATTATCACAACTTTTATGCTAGCCGGCTTCAGGCAAAAAAGAATTTTTTAAAAATCTTGTTTCCTTTTTTAATTACCTGGAGCCAGTTGTATAAAAGACTAGTTAACTTTTAACTGTAGTTAAAGACAGAATTGGTCAATCAGAGTCGTGCATTTCTGAGTTGACCAGGATTTAACTTTGCAAAATGTAGTTAAAGAGTTTCATACAACGAAAGACCTCGCGTGGTTTATTTTATATATTATCGTCTAAATATTTTCTTTTTTAATTTTCCTCAAGAATCCCAAATTGAGTCGTGATCTTCTTCTTGGCAGCAACATTGCCGGAGAAAAACCGTTTAGTTTATCAGTTCAAAGTTTATTTAATGAAAAAAGTAAAACAAATTTATTTCAAGTAAGTTGATATATATGATTTGACAATAGTTTTTATAGTTTCGTTTGATAAACTTTGAAATATGCTTTAATAAAGCCTTTCACCACTAGGGCATTTGGAGAATCCCTTTGGACGACGTGGACAGGTACTGTTTTTCATAGAATACCTCCTCTAAAAACGGTTAGAGAGCAAAAATACGAGGCAGACATTCGACCTAACACCCTTCCCCCCCCCACCACCGATACATTAGACCTGACAACTGATGACACTGAACCTAGCACCCTCCCCACACAACTGGACAACTGACTAGACCTGACGCCCGGGCCGGGTGACAATCTATCCCGCATACCATCAAACAATCGTATACAAACTCGTTCGCTTACGCTGTCAAATTTCTCGCTACTTTAGACCGGGTAGTTTCTGTACTCATATGTACAAATGTGTTAAATTGTTGATTGATGTCCTGGATGATCTACAAGAATGGGAATCATTGCTTCTCGTCTCCATTCTCCTGTATCGAAACCCTGACAGTGGCAAGTAAGTATGACTTGATGCCTCAGCATGTATCTGGAGTAAAATCCTCTGTTTGACCAGGCAAAACAAGGCGACAGCAAAAGTCTATTGTTAAAAGTAGTCTTGAAAATTTTCTGAGTCAATTTCAACCGAAACAAATTTCATAAAATGTGTGATATTTCGTTTAGGAAATGTATGATTTTATCGCAATACTTGTGCCCAGTGTTTAAATTAGATTTTTAAGGAATTGGTTGAGATGAACACGATTCTGCTGCTGTTTTTACAGAAATTGTTCTTTTTTAGAAAGTACTTGAGAGATAATGAACGATTACAGCTCGCATCAAAGGTATTCGTACAAATATAATAGGACAAGAAATAGCAGGGAAAGAATTTGGTAGGATGGGGTTGCATTCCTCTCAGGACAACTTAGACTAGGTCCAAATGTTGGATTCAGCAAAGCCCAATGACCTATATTCTGATTCCCTACCGAGAACAAAATATGGTCATCCCCCAAAAAGGAGCTTCCCTCAGTGGCGTAGCCAGCATCGATAATTCGGGGGGTCCATATTCATATATTCATGTAAACAGACTGTAAAGACAATTGATTTGAAAAGAAATTAATCCTGCGTATCACGAATATATGAATATGCCCCCCCCCAATCATCGTTCTGGCTACGCCGCTGGCTTCCCTGTCCATCTCAGCAATTATTTTTCAACAACATTTTGTTAAAACGATTCTTTGGTTATTATAGGCCTTTACGTTATCATTGAAACTACTAAACGGGCGTTTGGAAGAATGTAAAAAGGTATTTTCAAATTAATTTTTATTTTACTCTTCTCTGCGATATTTTGCGTGCGGTTAATTACGTTTCTTTTTTAGCTCGTGAAGCCAAACGAGGCTGCAACCACTTTACTCACAGATGCACACGAAGCATACAAATGTTCTCAAAAAGTACAGAAATATGGAGAGGTATGAAACGATGTTTTGTAGCATTGTAGTGTACTAGCTGCTCCATTATTCTTCAATTCACTTTTCCTCTTTCTCAACTTTTCTTCACTTCCCCTTTGCGCCTCTACACGCGTAAAAACGCTCAGGTTGATGCAAGTTGATATAAACAGGATGGAGCAATGTTGTGCTGCCCACATTGTTCAGAGTTGTTATCAATATTGAACAATATTGTTACACCCGATTCAGTTTCAACAATATTGTTCAATGTTGATAACAACTCTGAACAATGTGGGCAGCACAACATTGCTCTATCCTGTTTGTATCAACTTGCATCAACCTGAGCGTTTTTAGGCGTGTACTCCATCCAGCACTCTTCTCCATTCCACCTTACTCAACTATATTCTACTTCACTTCACTTTGATCTCTTCAACCCCTCGTCCCATTTTACCTACTTTACCCATCTCTACTCCATTTCTCTCTGCTCGCATCTCTCCTCCCTCATTCCACCCTACTCCACTGTATAATAGATCACTTAATTTTTGCTTTGCTAATACTACGTAGTTGTTGCCTTATTATTTATTCTTGTACAGATCTTTCTCACGCTTAACAACGAAAATCTTCTATATTACCCTCAGGAAACAGAGAAGCTTATGGTTGAAACATTTGAACTCACCGACCTACGTAAGGTTGGCAGCACGCCATCACAAGATGAGAGGAAACAAAGTGAAACTTCAGTGTTAGACGAAATTCTCAAATACTTCCAGCAACTATCAACCCCGACAAAACCGGTATATATGCAGACGTATATTGTTCATGATTCATGTGTTTGAAGTTCTTCTAACTGACTAAACTCACCGCGTGAACAAAAAAGTAGAGCAAATCGATTTTCTAACTATAGAATTTTAGATAATTAAAAGAGGCAGATAATGGCATTTGTAGGACCTAGGGAGCATGTCCATACCAGTACTCCGCTACCCCTCTTTCTCCCCTTCCCCCAAAGAGAAGCCTTGAACCATCGGTGTGACGTGTTTTCATATACTTTGCAGACATCTGTAGTTGAACACGATGAAAAAAATGGCGGACAACCAAAAACTGGAGAGGACAGCTCGACAAAAACGGAATCAAGGACAGAGGGTGAAAATACTAAAGATGCTGAAAGTGCTGAAAGTGTAAATAAAACACCCAGTCATGAACAAAAGCTAACATCTCCTAAATCTAGCGCTGACGATCAAACTCTTACTTCTCCTAAGTTACCTCCATTAATCCCTGACGGAGAAAAGTTACCTTGAAGAAAGAGCCCCTGTATTTATGTAAATATTGCGACCACGCTAAGTGTTTGAATAGGACCTGGTTGGCTGGTTCATACCTTTCAGTTTAGGCGGGTCGAACTGATGTAAATAAGATCATAGATAATGGTATAAATCTATATTGGTCATCACTATCATCTATTGTCTTAGTCACTTCGATTAATTTACTAAAACAAAGGGTATAAAAGATGGTCCAAGGTCGGTAATACTGGTACATAGTATCATGCACTAATCAGTTTATTACCCCGATCCAGTTGTACTATTTTTTAATTACCCGGCTGAGTATACTATATACCGGTGTATTCAACCATCATACAGTATTTTTTTATCATACGGTGCACTAATTTTTTATTCTGTCAGTTTAGTTTATACCTTCCAACGATATTTAAATCGCTCAGTGTGGTGCCATGTTACCACATACCAGTAGGAAGAGGTTCTTTTTAAATATCAGGATTATTTAGGGTTTAATCAAGACCGTTCTTTGCAGTCGTAGTCAAACACTCGTATGTCGCCATTATTTCGCGAAAAAAGGAAACTTCGCCCATCGCATTTCATTCATATGATTTCATTGGGATGGTGCAAGACAGAAGGTCTTAATTAACCGTCTAATAATTACCGTGTTAAATGAAGTATGCGGCAGAGAGCGAAGGCTCATTAACATGGTGTCTCATCACCAAAATGCCTCCGAAGAAGAAGGGACAAGACCAAAGCAATAAAAAGACCGTTAATAAACAGAAAGAAAAGATTATTGAGGTAAGTTATTGACTAGATTTAGAGCCTACGTATCACACTTCATGATACCACTGAATTCGTGTTCATACACTTTCAAATACCACGAAATGTACACGTACATATTTAAAGTTCATTTGAATTGAATGAATGGTGTTTTTTTTATGTATTAAAATATGATGATTAGATCATCGTTTTCCGATTAAATACTTCAATTTATTTCGAGCTTTTGATAACCGACTACAGCTCTCAACAGGATCGTGATAAGTTCAAAGTAGATTTCAATATTTGGTCAAGGAACATAGTTTAATTATCTTTGGACAATTTCGACCTGAGGTTCATCCGTATTGAATTACCTTCATCCTCTTAAATACAGTCGATGTTCCAATACAATATGCATTTGTTTTAATTTATGGTACAATTTAGTGCAAGAGTAGATTAAATTGGTACTTCTTTGAATAATTTAAAACATTTAAAATCAAATCCAACATTTAATAGATATGTGTGGATTTGTGGCAGTAGTGGACACTTTATGAAATATTGGGGAGGGTTGAGAATTCTAGAGAAGTTTTGGCACACCCCCCCCCCCATTTGAAAGATGTATAAAATGTGTTGTGTTATCAACAGAACAAAAATACAGATTATTGATCATTATTCTAAACATTGTTTGGTTCAATTATTACTTTTTAGCGAATAATTGTCCAACAATTCTGTTATATGGGGTGATTTTAGTTATTTTATAAAATATTTTAGTCTTTCAAAATTATTGGGGGGTCTCTAACCCACCCACCCCCCAGTGTCTGCCACCGATTTGTGCACTAAAGATTTTCAATATTTTAAGGATAAAACATTTGGTTTGAAAAACAAGAAGGGTAAAAAGCAGCAGCAGTATGTCAAGAATGTCACACAACAGGTATAAGTTTGGTAAAATGTTTTCTTTTGTTATCTTTGAAGAATTTCTCAGCTTCATTTGCTTCACATTAATGACATATGTGCTTTGATTATATTTGAAAGGTCAAGTTTGGAGGCAATCCAAGTGCAAGGAAGGTGAGAATGTTTAAATCTTTACGGTCAACAGAAAAATGCTCAGCAACAGATTTCTTAATTATGGCAATTAAATACATAAATTTTGTTGTATGCGATTGTCATTTTCACAGTTGAAAATAATGGCCATGCCATATTTCAACTCAGTTTGCTGATGGCAAAATATAAGATATGGTATTTGCATGTAAGCTCCCTAAATTATCACATATACCAGCGTACTGATATAAATCTTATGTGACATAATTGTAAAAAATTCCCATCCAATATTATGAAGCTCTTGTAAATAACACATATTTTCCTTATTTTCCAGTTAGCACAAGAAACAGATACAAAGGTATGGTAAAAGTCTATGAAATTTGCATCTTTCTAGAAAGAAGGCAGCAGGTCCCTGATATTGATGCAATGTTTGTAAAGGCTACACTGGTGTCATAGTTCATACCATGTCCTTATTGTTATCTTTTTCTTAGAAACTTGACCAGGAAAGGAAGAAAAAAGAAGCAGAAGAATTGAATCAACTCTTCAAACCTGTTGCAACAAATTTCCAAGGATGCGATCCAAAGTCGGTCGTGTGTGCGTACTTCAAGCAGGGTCTTTGTGGGAAAGGAGACAAGTGTAAATATTCTCATGACATCAATTTGGAAAGAAAAGGGGAGAAGAGAAGTTTGTATGTTGACTCAAGGGACGATGAATTACAGAAAGGTATGTTCAGTGCTGTAGGTTTATACAAGGCCAATATGAGAGTAATGATAAATTTATTGAAGACTGACATTTCACAGCCATTGAAACCCCCTTGAAATGAATTATTTCGGACCACAGTCATCATTTTATTGACCCTGTACAAATATGTTTAATGCAAAATTATCATTTGCAATATATTGTGTGATTCTAAGATACAATGGACACTTGGGATCAACAGAAATTAGAAGAGGTTGTTGAAAAGAAACATGGAGAAAAAGAGAAGAAAAACACAACCGAAATTGTACGATATAATTGCTTTTGCTCATTCAAGTCTCTGTTTACAATAAATATGCTGCTAAATCAGTTTCAAAGTTTAAAGAAATCAAACTATTTTTCTTCTGAGATTCACTAATGAAGGTCAATGTTATATTTCTTGCAAGGTTTGTAAATATTTCTTGGAAGCTATTGACAAAGGACTGTACGGTTGGTTTTGGAATTGCCCTAATGGTGAGAAATGCATCTATCGTCATGCTCTACCGCCCGGATTTATTTTGAAGAAGAAGGAACAGAAACAGGACAAGGATGAAATTTCGTTGGAGGAATTGATCGAGGAAGAGCGAGCGAAATTAGGAACAAATTTGACAAAGATTACTTTAGAAACTTTCACGACTTGGAAAACGAGGAAGGTGAGTGTTTCGTGAGCAAAAGATTTTACACAATTGATGATTCCATGGAATAAAGTCTAATACCACGGCTAGAGAAAGCATATTTCATTGAGTAAAACTGCGAAGTTTAGTCGCCAAAATGATGTAAATCTGAAAATAAAGACACGCAAAAATACACATTATCTCAACTCGTGACACAAATTGGCAAACTTCACAGGTCTATATATTCTACTTTTTATAATATTCTGCCGCCAAACTTTGCAAATTTACTCGTTTATAAGTTGTTTTCGACTGCGGCAGTGTTATTGAACATGTCGGAATTTCCCGCCAAGCTTAAACGATTGCTAAGGAACCAATCGCAATGCTTCATTTTGCAGATTTTTATATACCTTCCTAAAGTCTCCGTCATGACGTGTTTGCGGAGAAAGCATGCTTCTGATTGGTCAATGCCGCCGAATACGTCTGTCTATAGCTGAACTGCTTTGCCACAGAACAATTTCATAACCAAATATTTCTTATAATTTGTTTCGTCTCTTTCTTTGCGTAGTTAAAGGAGAAGAAAGCGACGTACGAGAGCGAAACAAAGAAGAAAAAAGAAGCTTTTAAAATGGGAAGAATTGTCGGAAAAGTAAGCGCTATGTCTTTATATCGTTTATAAACAAGAGGAAATTTCGTTTTAGACCAAGAAGCAAGTTTGTTTACATTTTCAGTACTACTTCCGGTAAAAAGGTACATTATTTACCACTTTACATGAAGTATTAAAAATTTAGGAATTCTGATTGGCTTTGTCTGCAAAAGGTAAACAAATAATGGCGATTAGGTTAAAACGCAATTCTTCCTTGTTTTGTTTATATAAACAATAATCCAGACTTGTTTATGTTCAAAGTATTTTTTGTTTGTCAATTCACCACAGAAAATGTTTTGTTTGTTTCCCATCGTGCAGAACTGCAACGATATTTATTTTCTCTGCTTAGATAAGCGGTCGAGAGGTATTCCAGTTTCGACCAGAGCTTGTGGACGACGATGGTGATGACGAAGAAGGGGAATCGTTTGATATTACACAGTTCAGGCGGGATGAGGTAACACCTTTGCTTTTTATAACATAAACCATAGTCTATACACATAAAGTTAGAGGTTTAAAGGGTCCTAATTTCGAGTGGAAATTTGCACACTTGAAATTCAAGCCAGGAACAGTTGATGGAAAATGAGTCAACTATAGGTCCTACGCTTATTGCGATGCCGGTGCAATGCAGAGTTCTTCGATACCTTTTACAATCAACTGAACACTATTTTAGAAATATGTAAACCATGGCGTTTCCTTCACAATTCCGACTGGACATCGCCTCTAATCTGAGAAGAGGATCGACCCTAACCCTGCCCAAACCCCTAATTCTAACTCTGTTCCATGTATTTAATTACGAGAACTTGGTAATGTTTTTATTCAGGATGATGATGATGACGAAAACGATACAAAAGTCGTCGACATCTCTTTGGATTCTTTCAACACACTAGAATACAACCAAAATGGCACACCAACCACCGAGAAAGAAAACACACAACAGGTGGGTTCATGGTCGAATACGCCGTTTTCCGACGGACTTGAGCATGGTCGAATACGCCGTTTTCCGGCTGACTCGACTATGGTTGAATACGCTTTTTTCAGACAAACTAGACCATGATCGAACACGCCGTTTTCCGGCTGACTCGACCATGGTTGAATACGCCATTTTCCGGCAGACTCGACCATGATCGAATACGCCGTTTTCCGGCAGACTCGACTATGGTTGAATACGCTTTTTTCAGACAAACTAGACCATGATCGAACACGCCGTTTTCCGGCTGACTCGACCATGGTCGAATACGCCTTTTTCCAGCAAACTCGACCATGGTCGAATACGCCGTTTTCCGGCAGACTCGACCATGGTCGAATACGCCGTTTTCCGACAGACTCGACCATGGTCGAATACGCCTTTTTCCGGCAAACTCGACCATGGTCGAATACGCCTTTTTCCGGCAGACTCGACCATGGTCGAATACGTCGTTTTCCGGCAAACTCGATCATGGTTGAATACGCCTTTTTCCGGCAGACTCGGCCATGGTCGAATACGTTGCACAGTTTTTTGCATCTGGACCTCGCAGCCGGTAAATAACAAATATGTATTTTTGCAGAAGAACATGGACACAGATGGATTGGAGATGGCTTGTGCTGTTACAGCGGATGATACGGGACAAACTGGACCGACTATAGACGGGGTACCGGTGGATCAAAGTTTATTCGAAGATTTAGATGATCTGGACTTGGACGATGATATGGTCGAGTAGATTTCTCGGAATCGAAATAATATCCTAGAAACTGTGGATAGTGGTGAAATGAATATCCACGAATGAAAAAAATAACGTTGAGTAACAACAGCTGGCTTTGGTCTATATACTCCCTCACATCGCTTCTAATCAAAGAAAATTCAAAATTTCTATATATCTTTGACTAAGAACTTTTGTAGGTAAAAATATCTTGCCAAGCCAAACTACGATATCTGCCGGGAAATTATGGATGGAGGGAGCTCATATCTAAGCAAAGGAGGCACGTTATTAAAATATTGTCAAAATGCCTATTTTAAACAGTATTTCATCTTCAGCTGACACTATCGCTTTTCAAATGACAAATTCTTACACCTTAGTTTTAAAACGTTTCTGTCATTTTGATTCTGTGAGCGGGTCGGCATCGGGGCAGCATCCACAGGTAGTCGCCAGTGGTCTTTCCCCCCTCCATATTTAACCCCAATTATTAACCCCTGGTCCCCTAACGTCCCCCCCCCCGAAACACTGACCTATTCTCATCTGGACTGCTGGCCAGTGAAGCTGGCTTGCTTGTTGCTTAGCGACACTAACTCTTCCCAGTCTTCATGCGTTTGTTTACAAATTCTAATATCTGGATTCTGGAACAAGAAAAATCTGCCAAACTTCATTGTGTTTTGTCATTTTTTTACTATTTTCACCCTGATTTTTGCATGAGTACAATTTTTACAATGACTCCTCAACAAGGAAGACTGTCGTTATTGCGCAACCTTCAGGAAGCGCATAAAAAGGATATAAAAACCTACGTGAGTGGCCACCTCAACCAAAATAAATTGTACAAATATGAGGAGAAAAATGGTCACGAAACATGGGCCACTTCTCTCGGTGCTCCAGTGAGGTATGTATAGTCTGCCGCAGTTTGTATTGCTCCGTAATTCACGTAGATAATGGAAGATAGTTTTACATTACTATTATTAAAACCATTTAACTGGTGAATGGAAGACTACTGCAGTAAGTTCTTGGCGATAATACGTAGTAATTCTGTACGTTTCCTTTTGTAAACACCATGTGAATTGAATTTAAAAAGTTTGATTTGCACTGATGATGGTTCGGTTCCCGTGGTGTCTCCACACTTGAGTAAATGTACAAAAGTACTGATCATACTAAATCTAATTCTGAGAGCTAGTATAGGTTGACCTATAACTTCGTTAATATGGGGATATTTTATTCATGATTGAGACAGCATCAGAGTATGAGATATTGCTGACTTTATAGGATGAAACCTGCCAGTCAACCAGTACATCTTCCAACAAGAAAAGGACAATTAACACGAGAACAACAGAAACAAAAGGATATGAATGATACAGTGAAGGAATTTAGTTTTGGTGCTTTAGGTACACACACTGTAAATCATTTTATCTTTTATACTTTCACGGAAGAAAATATAGAAGTTCATTTTAAGAAATGAAGTAAAGTCATTGCGGATCCACATCACCTGTTAAATAATTTGTATTATACTCAAAACGTTGCTTAATCGTTGGTTAATTAGGTCGTTATAGCTCTCAAGCAACAAGCAGAAATAAAACCCAAGAGTCAGTTGCTGTTGGTAGATGTCTGTCCCCGGAGTCCACACTTAATGTGAAAGAACAAACTGAAACCGAACTTGAGAAATCCTGTCTGGTGGAGGAATTGAAACTTCCTGAGATAATGTTTCATGTATCAGACAATGCTGGTAAGGCAAAATTACTTATTCCCTTACAATTAACTAAAATAATCTATCTTAGGCAAAACTGTTGGAAATGCTGTTACATTGTTACTATTGCATCAATATAGGAATGCTATTTTCACGTGATTTTTGACTGATGTAAATTTTAATAGGGGTGGTGTTTAATTGGAGGATGTATTGGTCATGTACTCACCCTCATACATCCTGACTTCATGCATAACTAAGCATTCTAAAAATTAACTAAAATTTGTTTAAACGCAAGGCTGATTCACATATTTAACCTCTTAGGGTCGCAGAAAGATAATTTAAAAAGGAGCAAAGACCAAAGCTCTGACCTCTACTTCAAGAAACGCGATTTTGTCAAAACTCATCTTGGTCATGTGACAAAAAGCGACCAATACGAAGCAATGAGAGGTTTCGAAAAAAATGTCATGAATCTAGCTGACGCGAGCGATAAAGGTTTACTTACTGGAGATCGCATTGTTCGTAAGCTAAGAAAACGGTTAAATAAGGTGAGGAAAGCTTTGACAAGGGAGGGAGGCCTTTTGATGGCGGGTTTTTTTATACTGTTCGATGACAACTACCAATTGACGATTTCGGCTATTATTAGTAATTAGACTAAATGAGTAAAACTGCAAAGTATTGTTTTCAAACTGTTATAAATGAGTGTCGAAAATATGACCCTGAAAAGTTGGTAAAATGTGAGTAATAATGATATTTGTAATACGCGCGGTGAAAATAACTTTTTCAATTTTGGGCGGAAAGATGGAAAGATATACTTTTAATTTTAAAGAAAATTTTGTGAACTTAACAGCGCTATAGTTTCCACGTTATTTTAAGATGCTTTTTCCTACTGTGGACTGTAGTGTTGGATTTCCTATTAGTATAGTGAAGGCTGTATTCAGACCGTTCTTGACCTAAACTTAGCCATTCATATATTTTAGAATCTTCAAGTGGTAAGCGCTTCGTCTTCAAAGCGTGGCCCAAATTTTCACCGTCTTCAAGCTCACAGAGATTGTTTCGATGAAGTTATAGAAAATTCAACTACTTTTTCCCGTCTTTTAAGACTCATCAAGGTAAGTTCGACTTACGAGGGTAAGTGCAGGAAAATATTATGCCACACCACATCACACGACAGTCGCCCAGTTTTGGCCACAAGATGATTCTCACGAGGAGAGGGCTGCCCCCCACCCCTCCTCTCCGTGCGACCCTTATGTCTACATGGTGGTTTGTTCTCAAATTTAGGACGAATACGATAGCTATTTGGCGTATACCTTAGAGCAAAACAGGGTATCGAAGCACAAAGCGTTATATTCTCAAATACCGTCAATAACAAAAGCGAAGTCGGTCGCAGAGGCTGTTAAACTTCAACAAATCCGACTTGAAAACCTCGAGAATGAAGTCAGATCGCTGCTGAAGGAGAACGACAGGTGGGTAGTGCTAGAATAAGCCCGTTCGCAGGTAGGGCTCAGAGATTGAATTACCCGTTTTTACTAGACAAGATTGCAGTCACTGCACCAGCATCAAAGTGTAACCCCGTTACTATTTTTCAATCAATAACTGACCCAAAACATAGCATTTCCATCTGCGGTTGTCTTGTGGGTTATGAGATACCAGAATTCCAGAACGAAAGAAAAGTGGGTCTGTTTTCAGCTGACCTTTATACTTGAATACCCATCCAGTCAATAGTTCGTATAATGAGACCAGTGTAAAATTACCGCATGCGCAGACCGCGCGCTCGAATTTTACTGCCATATTGCCACAATAAATCGTTTTATGGTATGCGAAAATTGGCGTATTTTTATCTAATTGGATATTTTATGGTGCGGTAATGGTCAATATTGAGTTGTAGACGTCTGTCCAACCTGATTGGGAGTGTTTTTTTGGCGTAACAAGGGAAAGGAAACGTTAAATCTTTGATATATTGTCGTACAAATTTGTGGTTTGTTTATGTTTATCTGTCTCTGGTGATCACTCTTTTCTCGATATTAACCGGTAACCAAAGGAAACTACGTTCAAAAGATTCCGTGACAAGTTTCTTTTAAATGAAATTTTTTAACCTGTAACATATATCTAGAAAAGTATTAGAAAATTAGTTGAATATTTAAGCAAAAGTAACCTGAATGAACCAGTGTAAAGTCTGCCATAAATGTTTGTCAACTCCTGCTGGTTTGATGGTACATTACCGTGTTCATACTGGTGAACGACCATACAAGTGCAGCATCTGTGGTAAAACCTTTCGCCAAAAAAGCCATTTAAAAAAGCATTGTTATAGCCTGCATGGTGATCAAAGTTCTGAAAGTTGTAGGAATGTTGTGAATTCTGTGAAAGAGGACGCTGACAAACAAGTGGTTGAAATGGATGAAAAGACTTTCCACAAGTGTGAGATTTGTGATGACACTTTTCCTACTGTCGCAAAGATGCATAATCATCTTCGATGGCACAATATGAGAAAGCGGTATAAGTGTAATGTCTGTGGGAAATGTTTTAGGAATCCTGTTGCATTCAAAAAACATAAACAACATCATGAGAAGAAAGTATATGAAAACAATTTGCAACCATGTGATAATGATCAGCAAACAGAAGTTTGTAATACCTTGCAACATTGTGATGATGCTTTGCAACAATCCAATACTGCCCTGCTGCCATGTGATAACTTAGTGCAACCTTGTGGGGACAATTTGCAACAATTTGATGACACTTTGCAAACAGGTGAACACTCTGGGCAACAACCCGAAAGCATGGTTGATGTCAAACAGCAAGTCCCAGTGAAAATTAAAGAAGAAAATAAAAAGGCAGTAAAAGAACCACACTTCTGTGTCATATGTAAGAGAGAATTCACCTGTCATTTGACCTATAAACGCCATGTAAATGAATATCATCACAGGGGAATGCAAAGAACTAAAAAGAACAACAGCATTGAAGAAAACACTTCCTCAACTCAGGATAATAAAAAAGATGCTTGCTCCAAAGGTTCCAAGACCAAGAATTACACATGTTTGATATGCCACAAAAACTTTGCCAGTGCAAGCTCTCATGCTGTGCATCTTCAAAGAATTCATCCATCAAAAATTTACAAGTGCGACGTTTGCGTGAAAGCTTATGGAGTGTTGCATGACTTACGATATCACTACAAAAATTCCCATAACGTGGACTTGCCCTACGGGTGTGATATTTGCGGGAAGCACTTTCGGTACAGAAACAAATTAAATGAGCATTATGCAGTCCATGAGACGGAAAAAGGAGAAAAGTTACGAATGGAGAAACCGAAGGCGAATAAAAAAAAATTGAAACGGCAGCAGAAGCGTGACCCTCCTAACGATAGCCAAAGCAGTACGGGTTCAACTGAAACAGTTTCCGGGAAACCATGGGAATGCAATATTTGCGGGAGGAGATTTCAATTCCCATCGCGTTTGAACGTACATATGAGTCTTCATGAGCAGCGGAAGCCTACCTCGCCCAATTCCGAATGGCCATACCAATGCAATATTTGCGAAAGTCTTTATCGATACCCATCACGCCTCCGTGGACACTACCAGGCCAAGCATCAACTTAATGTGCCATCCCCACAGCCGTATTGGCGCAAGATCAAGGGCAAGGTGAAAATAAACAAATGTGATATTTGTAGCTGTACGTTCCCATTTAAATGGCTTTTGAAGAACCATCAGTTAACACATAAGAATAAAGCAAACCCAAGAAGGCCTTCTAAAAGAACTGCCAGAAAAGGTGGACCGAACACGTGCGATGTTTGTCAAAAGGCATTTAGATTTCCATCACAGCTACGTGCACATTATGTCACACATAAAAGGAAGGGGCAAGGTGAAACCTCCGGAGGGGCAGACCGGGAACCCACGACCAGTACCGAAATGACGTTGTCCGGAAAAGAACCCCCTTTTAAACCTTATTCGTGTAATATCTGCCACAGAAGCTTTTCGAAAACGAAGGATTTGAAGCAACACTGCCAGGCGCAACACGAAATGAACAGACCTTTCCAATGTGGGGGCTGTGCGTACTCGTTTGATAGAGTAACGGATTATAAGACTCATTGGAACACGTTTCATGCTAAAAAGGTCGAAAAACTTGGCTGGTTTAGTCCGCAAGAAAGTGCTTCAGATCGTGAAGTATTCGCCGAAATGAAGTCGCAACAGACTGAAGGAGCCGGGCAAAAGCCCGAAGCTTCAGTTACTGATAAGACTTCAGAAAACAGTTCCGACAAACGTGGGCTCGAGGGTTTGAGTGAGGTAACGAGATCTGCCGGCAAATCAGCCTCGAAAGGGGACCACGCTTGCCACATATGTGGGGCGTGCTTCGGCTCGTACGGCAGCCTAACAATGCATTTGGACATCCATTTTGATCGAAGGCCATACTCGTGTCGCTTTTGTCCCAGCAAGTTTCGGCAACCTGGTCATTTGATGTCGCATTGCATAAACGTACACGAGCAAGCATTTCCATACTGCTGCGATCTTTGCAAGATGCAATTTAAAGGATTAGGTAAGATGAGAAGACACAAGGAAGATGTTCACGGTATATCCAGAGCTCTGGTAGAACACCAGGAAGCCCTAGAACACGATGGACCTGAACAAAGTTGCACTGATTTCGAACAGGGCCACGTCACGAAAGTCGTGAATTCCAAACAAACTGGATACGCTTGCAATTTTTGCGGTTCGTCAGCAAGGACATTTAAGTCTCTCTCCGGTTTGCGAAGGCATATTACCGTCGTTCATAAGCCAAGTGCTAGGCAAGCTGTCTACGAAGATGATCAACCCCGGGGCAGTACTGTCACCTTTGATCTACAGGGCATGGTGACAGTGGCACGTGACGGGAAACCAATCAAGATAACCATCTCCGAAGAAATATTCAAGTGCAATGTCTGTTCTGTAATCGTCCATGGCGCGGATGCTTTAGAGACGCACGAGCTTGCGCACGTGAAAGCCAAGAGTCCAAATTCCATTTCACCTATAACCTCCATGGCACCACCGCCCCCCACACCAATTCTGCCACGTAAATTCGAGTGTAAATTCTGCGGACAGGAGTTCGACTCGTCTTTACGCGAGGCGTTCGACAAGCATCAGTTGGAACACGAATTTGCGGCCGAAGAACCAATAGGAACGGCGTATATATGTGTGGAATGTGACAAAGAATTCACGATGGCCAATGATTTGGTAAAACATTATGAAGAAACCCATTGATATGAGAACCGCGGACATATCCAGTCCGGGAAAACGACTTTTAGTTTTAGACAATCATTCGAGTATAATATTTTCAACAATTAATCGTTGGAAATATTATACCCGAATACTCTTTTAATAGTATACCTAGTAACACTTCAGTAATACCCCAAAAATGAATGTTCAAAATGGCCGACAAATTGACCTTCTGTTTCCACCACTCCTCCAGACAAATCAAACTAACTGATTCGGAGTATTTTTGTTATTCATTTTTGAGCAAGCTACAGGTGTAATATTCCTGCCTACAAATTGTTTTCTTCCTGCTAAAAGTTCAGAGTTCGAGGTTTCTACCTCTCTTATTCAGGTACTATGTGTTTTAAAAAAAAACGTCGTTCCATAAATGTAATAGTAAATTTACTACAATGTTATAAGTTGTAAGTTACAAGTGAGATTAGCTATGCTGAGCTCCAGCTCTGCTGAATGGTTTTCTAAGTTCAAAATTTACTTTTTACGAGGGATGGTTTATGTATGCCTGCCATCTTGGTTGGTTCTTCAAAGCATAAATGTACCACTGCATGATGTACACAAATGGTATTTCGCATCCCGCCATGCACCCAATAAATAATACGCAATAAAGAACATAAGCAGTTACGAAATAAACAAGGAAAAAGTGAATCGACGTGTTTTACTTGAAAATTTCAAGTAAACTTTGTAGAATCAACCAGGATGGTGACTGATAAAAAATAGCTAGAAAATACCCGCTTTCCAACGCCAACTACCAACACCAGAACTCAGTTCCAAGATTCAGTTGTCCGATTTGTCAATAAACAGGCGATTATAAAACTTCTCTTTAAAATGCAGAGTAGTTTGAATTCAAAAATATTTCTATGAGTAGGATAAGGAAAGGGTTCTGTGTGTGTTTGCGGTGGACGAATAAATGTTACTTGAACGTTCTTTAAATGCATTCATTGTTAATAACGTTATAAAACATTGAATTGATAGGAATAAAAAGGTAGTTAAAATATAGTATCTAGTTGTTTTGCTGTTACAGCGAGAAACTCAGTGGCGGGAGCTAAGCATCATTTGCTATGCTTCCCGTATGGATAACTTGCAGGGACAAAGAAAGATGTCCATGGGATTATATTTTATACGGCTATATATATGTGGTTGAACTAACGTGGTGACAATATTTCCCTTGACGTACAGATTAAGGGCCGAGGCCCGTCAGCAGACAGAATTAGAAGTTCCCGTGACGGCTCAGTCTCTACATGGTTCAGGTAAGTAAATTGATTAAGCTCCAAGTAGTTTTGTTTTTTTGTAGCTCCAAGCAGGGGTTTTTTTACACGAGTCTACTGGTATAGTGATTCAACAGCTTTTATGGTCGTTTCAACTGTGAACATGTGGTCACGTATTCCTTTTATGTCTCAATATTAATTTAATCCTTAAGTTTTGTCTTACGACTTTGACCGAGGCCAGAGCTTTTTTGATTTCAAATTGTTGATATTTCACGGAAGTTCTGTGTTCTCTGTCAAATTAGTTGGGTTTGGGTGGGAGACAACCATGTCGTAAATTTCACAGATTTCTTCTTTATTAACCCCTTTCCTAGAAAACAGCGGCATGCAAACTCGGGTTCACGTGGAAGCGGTTGCGAAGGATCTTCAGGAACAAGTGGAAGATTTACATTCCCTGATCGCAAGTGAACTCGAAGCTCTCAATGAAATGAGAAAATACCAACGCGAGAACTGTGTCCCCTCTTCTGTTTGTCAGCATTTTGAACAGTGTATCAAAGAGACTGAGGTTTGTATGCTTATCGTTTTCGCTGTATTTGAATCAGGGTGTATTGGAGGAGTTAGGGAGGGTCGTCGTGTCTGACGAACCCCACGCCTTCATTATTCCTCAAGATTTCGCAATGTCGATGTTTGTTTTTTTGTTTGTTATCTAATCTACTAACATGGGTATCTTATCAATTTCTGAGAAGTTATTTTCCCTAATTTCAGGTTGACATTCAAAAGATGTTAAAACAAAATGAATTTTTGGAACAAAGTATCGGGGTATCTTCAATCATACTTTCGTTTCGTACGGACAAATTAGTTCCAACGTTTTGAACCGTTAAACTCTAAAACTCTGTTATTTATCTGTTTCTTTCAGGAATTGGAAGAAGAGTTAGAATCGATTTTATCTCAACACGGTGTAACAGAAAAGGACTCCAAGTAAGATGTTTTTGATTATTTTTTAACTCCGTATGATGTGAATTACACATGTACTTTTCAGGTGAAAGGCACAAGTGTAAATTCACATCAAATTGTAGTTTTTGTCTGCGGGAAATGTTAACACGGGCGGCAAATTATAGTGTTGTCACGACTCACGCTCTTATTTTTTCATTTCTTTTAGGAGACTTTGGAATAAAGTTAATCTATCGAAAGTTCTTGAATACGGCCGAAGAGTGCAGAAATAACGTGTCTAGAATTGTTAGAATTGAAAATATTAGCCTTATAGAAATATATGGAATGGATGAGCATATCGTGTCTTTTCGGCCACGTAGTGTGTTTACGTGTTTACAAAACGTGTCACAGAATGCCAGAAACATCAATTTCCAACCCATGTTTATAAACCCTGAATATGCTGGGTTCAATCAACCTTGCTCCCAGGGTGTTACATCAGATTCGAAAATTTGCAACTTCGTACAAACAGCTTCTGTTCAAATGAACAAAAGCATCTTTTTTAACCATATAAAAACAAAAGTGTTTGTGAAAAGCATTGAACATGCTGATTATTATAAGGACGTCGCGAATCGCGCGTGGGTGCGTGTCTTCCTCGCAATATCCAACGTGGTGAAATTTTACTGGTTGTCAATTTCAAAGCGTCGACTGCCGGTCGATAATTGTCATGAAATGCACCAAATTTCAACTGTTTTTTGTTTAATTTTTTAATTCTAAGCTATCCTAACGTTTTCTAATATGCTACCGAGGTCGCAGTACTTTTTATACCTTCTTTCGACGGTAAGTTTTAAAAATTTTAGGCCACGTTGTTTGTTTACGTGTTGCTACTTCATCCTGTTTCAGAATCGTGCTAAAACATTCAACGTGTTTATATGTTTCCAACAAATTTCAGGCAAGTTTGTTGTCCATCATCTGTGGTTCCAGTGTCGTTGATTTAAATCATAACAATGTCGAGACAGAGCTAGGTTAGTTTAAAAATAACTGGGAAAATACTTTGTACCGCATTGAACAAATTTATGAATAATTTTTGTTGTCATTTCTGCAATTAATACGCCAACTTTTGCCAACTTCTAGTTTTTTCATCCTTTTAGGCAAAGCCAAGGTTACCTTCGTGAATTTTTACGCAGATTGGTGAGAAATATTTGTGTTTTTTTCAAAGTAGTCTACTGTAAGTTAGACAGCATAAACTATTTCTTTGCTTAAGTCTCTAACAGCCCGCTTATGAAGTATTGGATCAGTTGTCTTGTCATTTTTTAATAAAATATAATTTATATAATCTAGACAAGCGCGATTAGTGATAGTAATTTTTATCATTGACTGCATTTCAGATGTCTTATCTACTTTCTATCTCCATGCAACATTCAATACAATAATTCAATACATTCATCAATTATTTATGGCACATTTGTATATGTTTTGATACAATAATTGATACACATGTATATATGACAGGCTTCCTGTGATGGGCAACCAAAAATGCTTGGGAAATATGTGGTTAAGCTATGGGCATTTTTAATTTATTGCAATTTTAATCCAAAAGACATTTTCTCCTGAATTTTTCTGATTACAATAAAAAGTTAAAACATTAGCTCCAATTTATTTTCGTTTGAAATGAGAAACGAGTCTCATTCAAGTCTTTAGGCACCATTACAGATTGATTGCTAGCTAGAGATATGTTCAACAGCTGCATGGTGACATTAAAAAAGGCAAAAACTAGCCAGACAAAGCTCATGGATTATCTTATTTATAGGCATTCATTATGGGAAAAATTATCTGAAACCAAATCTCTTGACCCTAACACTAATCCTAAGTGTCTAAAACCTGTTAGAATCAGACATATTTGCCATTGGTATTTTACATGTGAAATACTAAGAATTTTTTCCATAACTTGTAAGGTACATCATCATTGATCACTAGTGATTGTCGACATCTTTAGTAGACAATAGTTTAACAACAGGGTGCCTAAATCTTCAATCATTATATAGGTGCAGATTTAGTCAAATGTTAAAGCCCACATTTGAACAGACAGCAAATATTTTAAAAGAAGAATTTCCTGTATGTAATGATATTTTTCTATATGTTTTTGCTCATTATACCAAAATATTAGAGTTAAAAATTTTGACCTGTTTCTAGAGATCTAGGGCCAATTGTTCGAAAGGGGTTTAGCTTAAACAGTTGACAAGTTAAAGTTTAAAAATACTCTCATACGTCTTGTGAATGATTGAAACTGCATTGAAATATGTTGGTTCATTGAAGATTAAACTATTCACATCGAAATATTTCAGCTCAGTTGTTCAATAAATTGATTGTTTTTTTTTCCATTTTGAACTTATCCACCGTCTAAGCTAAAAGCCTTTCGAACAACTGGCCCCAGATATATTACTGAGTGTATAGGAACTTCTCAAAAAAAAGTTTCAGTTTATTCCTGAAGTTTGCATTCATGATTCATCACTTCTCAATTTGGTCTTCCAAAGTTGACTTATTCAGGCATTGTTCTTGATAGGTATGTCCAGTGTAATATCAGATTAGCAAAGTTTTCTGCCATATTAATATCTTAACTGACATGAATCCTTTTTTAGAATGATTTAGTACTAGCAAGAATAGATTGTGAAGACCAGCAGGATGTCTGCCAAAGATTTAATGTGAATAAATATCCAACATTAAAAGTATTCAGAAATGGACAGGTATTCAAAGTTTTTGGTCAACACAGTCTATAATGCCCCTAATTTTGTTTGCTTTTTTAAAAAATTGAATGCCAATCATATCTAGGTGACAAAACGAGAATTCCGTGGTCAAAGAACCGTTGATGGTCTGTCCAAATTTTGCCGAGACCAATTGTCCGACAGAGTGCATGAATTTCATGCCTCCCAAGATTTGCATGTGGAGGTGTGTATGAACATAAAAACTCACCTTTTTGAATCAAAAAGTGTCTGTTCTTTTGGCAAATCTACCTTAAATGCTCAAGCCTTGACTTCTTCGATTATGTTGTAGCAATCGAAAAGAAATGTAATTGGTTACTTTGAGTCAAAAGAAGGGGAAAATTTCAAAGCCTTTGAGAAGGTTAGTGCTTGGAAAATGGTTTTATCCAACATTCAGCTTCATGTATGTCAGTATGTGAGGTATACAAGCAGGTCAATAAAAAAACCTTTAATGATAGATAATGCTACTATGTTCTACATTGAGTTTTCATATTTTAGGTGGCTGATCAATTGAGGGATGACTGTGAATTCCATGTTGGATTTGGGTAATATTCCAAAATATTTCTAATCACTTCCCAACTTCTAAAAGGGCCCCAAATTTCATTGTAGTTCATGCCTCACAAAAGTCACTGCCTCTAACATAAGCCCACACGAAATATGTCTCTATGTGGTGTTCAGACAAATTGATTATTTAACTAATTATACATATTACTAATAATAATGCAGTCAAATTCTCCAATCTCAAGTCACATATTGTGTCATCAAAAAGGAAAACTTAACCAAAATATATTTTCATTTTCTAGTGATGCCTCTGCAAGAGACAGACAAGATGGTGACAAAGTTGTCTTCAAGTCAAATGTAAGTCCAGCAACAGCATTGCCTTAGGGATCTTTGTTTTGAAATGTTGAAGATGTTAAGTGGCAGGGTACAACCAGAGTTTAATGGTTTTTCATGTTGGTTCTAGAATATGGATGTACAATATGGCGGTCCACTAAATGATGAAGCTGGTCTGAAACAATGGGCTAGTGAAAATTGTGTTCCCTTGGTTCGTGTTATCACATTTGAAAATGCTGAAGAGTTGACGGAAGAGGGAATACCATTTCTTTTATTGTTCCATCATCCTGATGACAAGAATAGTGCAGAGCTGTACAGAAATACTATTCAAAATCATTTCCGTAGTCATAAAGGTAAGCTTACCGAGGATGACTTACCATATTAATTTCCTGAAATCACATCAGAGATTTAACATTTAGGATTAGGGTTTTGGATTAGGTTTAGGATTAAGATTACCTGTGTCATTATACTCGGATTATTGAAATGGAAATTGACCCAATTTCGTTAACTTACTCAAGAAACTTGTATATACGCTCTCTGCTATCACTTAATTACCATTCTCAATTTTTTTTCCAGGAACCATCAACTTTCTTACTGCAGATGGCATTCAGTTTTCCCATCCACTTCACCATTTGGGAAAATCTGCAAGTGTAAGTGTATAGTTTCTTAAAAGATCTAAAATTTTAACTTGTCAACATCAAACAAATCTTTCATAACAAATCATATAACTGACTGTTTTGTTTTCACCTATTCCTTGAAGGATCTGCCGCTGATTTGCATAGACAGTTTCCGTCACATGTACACCTTCCCTAGATTTGATGACATCAAGTAAGTATAAAAACAATGTTCTAAAACTGATCTGAAGCCTACTGGGTGATGCCTCTGACCCTCTAGTATTCAGTACATCACAATACTAAAAAGAATGATACTGAATACTGAAAATACTGAAAATTATTATAACATTAATCATGCATGAAACTGCACTATTACAATTAGACAATAGCACCGTTTTAAACATGTATCCTCCATAGGAATCCAGCCAATTTAGAAAAGTTTCTGGCTGATTTTCATTCTGGCAAACTTCATCGCGAATTCCATCATGGACCCGACCCCACTGAACCACCTCAAGTAAGTTCCAATATATATATATACATCACAGAAACAAAGATTACTCTATTACTTAGCTCAATGCTTACTTTTTAGCGCATATTCTAAATAAATTAGTCGTTTACATTTAGTTTGACAAATCTGTTGATGCCCACCGACCCCTCTCCAGTGTCCTCTTCTTTTTTCCAGCATCTCAATTCCCAAGGTGTAAATCAAGTGCGTATTCCTCTTCCCTCTTTTTAGGGACAAGACGAAAGTGACCAAGGTCATCCAGTTGACGAGCACGGGCAACGTATTGATATGAACAACCAGGACGGCGGCAATGGTGATTATGACGAACAGACTGATCCTCCTGAAACCGTCTTCAAAAAACTAAAACCAAGCCACGATAGATACACGCTATTGAAAGACGAGCTTTAGGCGATGCGAATATGAAAAAAATAAGTGTACACTTGAATTATTACTAACGTATATATTATGTATTCAAGTCAGGGTAATGCATGCATATACCAGTTACAACCCTGACAAAAAAGAGAGATATTCATCATTGTTTAGGACCTGTTTTCGCACTCTACAAAACGTGTGTAAAATTTACACAATTTAACACCATTTCGCGTGTTTTAAAACACCTTATGAGCCGTGTACAATTGACATGTCTCGAGATTTGTTACACACCACATGATGTGTTATCCATATCCTATTGTGTGTTAAAACCACCAAAAGATGTTTAAAATTTGGGTCGGAAGAGGTGGAATATTACATCTGTAAATGTGTAAAATTACCACGCTTTCTATTTCGTTACAGGCAGTTTGTACACATTTTAGACGCACATAGGTGCCTTTTAACCAACAATACCCCTTTAGTTTTTTCGTAATTTGAGATCTAAGAGTTTGTTTAATTTGCATTTCTCCTTGGATTTTGCCTTTCCGGAAATGCTGATTTCGGAACGACAGTTATCTTCGTAGAATTTGTAATAATTTGACGCCAGATGTTGTATTGGCGATTTTTACATTTTCCTGAATCACTTTAGTATTTATGATAATAATTTTATGTAGTTTTAAATTTTTACAGCAAGTATCTCGCATTCTTGTTCAGATCGAGGAAGAGTTTGCACTTTTGAAAATAAGTGAAAACCGAATGCTTTTATGCGCCTTTTTTGGAATTCTTTGCGTCCAAGTTGATTGATAATTGCTCTTTGGCATAGAAAACTCAGTATGACGTGGAATATGAGTGCCGCTTGCAGCCAGCTGTTCATATATAAAGCACAAAAAAGCGTGCCCTTAATACGGGTTCTTGGAGCGAGGTTTACTTGGGACTTGGGAGAGCTTTTCCTCCCATTTTAGGAGCAGTATGTTCTATTTCCTGAAATTTAATTGTAAGAAGATCTTCATTACTAATATAAACACTGTTCAAAGATAAACATTCAAGCGATATCAAGCGGTAGGCGGTGGGAGAGGAGTGTTAATTATATTTCAGAACAGTCGTCTCGTTATAACAATATTGTTATATCTCGTCTTTTTTATCTTCGTATAATTCATATTATACTTCAGGCCGCAAAAATTTTGCGCTTCGAGTGTTCATTTGACCGTCCAGAGCCATTGTGAGCGCCTCCCCCAACCAAGTGAACCAACCCGGAAGTAGGTAACCTATGGATGTACCCGGTTATTGACCAATACCAGTCATCGATTATGAGATGAAATAACATTTCAGGCAGTTTCCGACAGTTATGCTAATCGATAATTAGTAATATAAAGCTTGTCTGCAATATGTTTCACCTGCCTGTCCTGTCAGCTCGACAAACTTTGCGGAACTCCCGTGGAATTTTGAAACGTACATTCTTTAAATCAACTTCTTTAAACATGCCGATAAAGGTACGTCTGCACATTGTACTTTACATGACATATTCACTGACTCAGTACAATTTAACAGTGCTTTAATCATGACACAATTTGATTTTAGCCAAGCATATGAACTCAGCACATGTTTTAGCAAAGTTAGCCCCTGTGTTGTTGAATGAAATCGTATAACATTTTATGCAAAAGACTTAAGGAAGTCAAGGTTTTAGTAGATAATCTGGTGGTCACAGAAACTGTTATTTATCATCGGATAATTCCACTTGAATTTTATGCTTTTACTTTTAGCCTGTACTTGAGATGCATGTATATATGATACTTGTTTGCACAAGCGACTTTTCAGTTTTTACTTTAAGCCTCGTTGTTAAGTAGAACTTTACAATTAAAACAACGGTGTTTGCCTGATTAAATAATGTAATTTTCTCTAGGTTGGAGACAAGTTACCGTCCATAGATGTGCACGAAGGAACGCCAGGAGATGTTGTAAATGTGGCAGAGTTGTTTAAAGGGAAAAAAGGAGTGCTCTTTGCCGTTCCTGGTGCGTTTACACCCGGCTGCTCCAAGGTTAGTTTGTGGTTTCAACCGTCAGGAAGATGAATTACAATTCTATAGGGCAAGGATTTAAGATTTGGATTTGGATTTAAGTCTATATATATCTGATAAGTCCAATTTCTTTATTGATATTTAGACTCACCTGCCAGGTTATGTTTCTGACTTTGATAAGATCAAGGTAATATTCCCAGTGGAATGATTTGTAAAAGGCATTTGGAGATGTAACAAGAATTTGTTAAGTAATCTTGTGTTGCATTTACATTACTTAATGCATTTAACAACATAACTTGGACATGTTTTCTGCAGGCGAAAGGTGTTGAAGTAATTGCATGTTTGTCTGTGAATGATGCATTTGTTATGTCTGCTTGGGGCGAACAACAGAAAGCAGATGGAAAGGTAGAAATGTAGACAAATCAACATTTAAGTTGTTGAAAGAGGGAGAGTTGAATTGGCCTACATAGCAAGTCACATTTATTGATAAAAACATCAATTTGCTTTGCACAAAATGGAATACTATAGTAGCTAGAGAACAGCTGAGTTACAATGTCATTGCTTCTAAGAATTATAATGTTTATATATCAGGTTAAAAAGGAGATTTTTGACATATGTTAGAGGCCCAACTTATTAATCATTAACTGTTTTCAATTATGTAATGATTTGCAGGTCAGAATGCTGGCTGACACTAAAGGGGATTTCACCAAGGTAAGAGTCTTGAATGTATTTAACTAACAAAATTGCAAGAATTGATATCTAATTACCAGGTTATTAAATTGTTAATGTGTTTGGCTGGGACCTTATATTTCAAATTACAGCATTTGGTTAATTTTGAATTATGTTTCTTTAGGCAATTGAGATGGATTTTGATGCAACTCCATTTCTTGGTAATCATAGATCAAAAAGGTAAAAAATTCATATCAAATTGCAAAACAAGCTTTCGATTTTTAATCTTTTGACATTCTTTCATGTTTTTTAAGGTATTCAATGGTTGTAGAAGATGGTACTGTCACAGCTTTGAATGTGGAACCAGATGGCAAAGGATTGACCTGCAGTCTTTCTAACAACATTTTAAAACAGATCTAGATGAATCTTAATTGCAGTGTCTAAATATACCAGCAGGATATATACCATGTTTTCAGTTCTAGTCATGTAGTGTTTTACAAGGTCAATGTTATGGACTTTGTGATGATGCATGCACACACCTTAGTATGAAAATGAAGAAAATTTAAAATTTTCTTTAAAAACCCATCAATCTTTTGAGACAAATTGCCCCTCTTGCATCTCCAACTCTAGTTGGTACCAACTACCAAAGGACTGAGGCTTGGGGCATGCTGGAGCTACCCCAAGTCCCAACCAACCCCATCCTGGTTGTCAGTGCTTTCTTTGTCAACTGCTGTGATTGGTAGATTGCAGTACAAATCTGCTTTTTGATTGGCTGAGATCAGTGAAGAACGATCTTGTACATTCTTGAAGAATGGAAACTACTCCGTTTCAAAACAAATATGGCGGACGAGAAGTTGTTTTCTGTAGAAGTTTTGGCTGAGTTTTTGGAGACTTTTGAACAAGCTGAGCTAGATGTATGTGAATAGTATGAATTGTAAGAATAATATACGTCTAGCAGTGAAAGATGGAGTGACAAATATTGTGAAGAGGTTCACAACCTTTCTAACAACTTTCCATATTTTTGAAAGGGTCTGGCAACAGCTGAGACTTATTCCCAACAATTAACTATATATCTTGTGCAAAGTGATTTGTAAGTAACTCAAGTTTGTTACCGCGATTTTTAGAAAGTAACGTTGAATTTGCAATAGTCTTATTGCCAGTACGTTTAATGTATAATTTTAATGAATGTTATTTTGACACTCCACTGTGTATTTCTAGGGCAAGTGCAAAGTTTCTATGGAAGAGAATACCAGAAGACATTAAGGCAGTAAGAGAAGTATTGCATTTTAATATATGTGAGGGCGGAAGACCATTGGAAGACATAGTTTGGCAACATTACCATCTTAACATCACTTACAACTAACCTTTCTTGAACAACCACATGTGAATTATAAATATCATTGTTTCTAGAAAACATTTTCACATGTTTTAAGTTTGTATTCTGTTTTGTTGTAACTCTGAGTTTAAAATACTTAGGCTACAGATGAGATACACAAGGTGTGGAACATCGGCAGTAAAATGTGGACCAAAGATTATCCCGGCTTTTATGCTGCCTTGAAACAGGAATGGTCAGAAAAAATAAAACCTCTCATGTTGATTTTGGAAGGTGAAATTCATTTCCAGAACGTTGTAGACACAATGACTCCATGAAAATCGTGTGTTTGTTGAGCTTCATTGTAATTTGTTGTGCTTAAATTTTATAGGAAAAATCCGGGATCACTTATTTGAATTGGTGCAAAAGGCATATACTACAATTCATGTTAACAAATTTTCTTTATTTTTGGGTATGACAGTCAATAATGCCCTTGAAGGTAATTACTAATAATTGTGTATTCTGTAGTATTTTGGTAGTAAAAAAAACTTCATGTACATGAAGTTTTTAAATAAATAAATAAATAAATAAATAAATAAATAAAAGCAGGCTATGGATTTAATTATTTTGATGTCAATTAAAATTATCCATTGCTGATTGTGTTGATTGTGCTAAAATTAGTGAGAGATGATTGGCTATATTATTTTTCAGTGGCAAGAAATCATGATTGGGTATATGATGATGAAACAAAAATGTTAACCCCTAGCAAAAGGGACGCAGGTAATCCATGGGCATATGTTGACAAAAAATGCAAACATGTTAATGATTTGATGTTGTAATTACATTTTCCCTGTTTGTAGGTGAAGGAAAAAATTTAGATGTTTCAATTAATAGTGATAAACAGTTAGGTATCCTTACAGACTACGTCTCATTCTTAGAGCACTCATAGTTGAAAAATATTGTACATAGCTATTTAAAGATACAGTGAAATTTATCATAGTTTGCAGTTTTAGTGTGGTAAAGGGCCATCTTGGCTGTGACCATATTCTCTTGGTTTTCTTGCATTGTTAATGCTTTTCCAGTTCGCTTTGTTGACTCTGAGGTGTTTGCCCAGAAATATCCCCATAATGAACCTGAAATTTTGTGATATTTGAGGCTGATTCATCATATATATCCGTACAGATTATTCCATATTGAAGCAGTTATCTGCAATGTTTTGCTGTTGATATAATCTGTTGTTCAGATCATTTCAATTTGGTAACTTTAAACACTAATGGCAAGTGGTCTCATGATGGTCATACTTTTATATGAAGACTGAGACCCTTGAGATTTGTGAAATTTGAAATAACTGGTGATCTATGGATTGATAGATACATGCCCTCCAAAGGCGGTTTCATACTATTGTGAGCAGGTGGGAAAAGGATACATGTAGAACTGATATAAATTGAATGTGAACCATTGTCAGTTTTCTACATTGCACTGATCATAAGTTGGTGCAAACGACGGAGCCGCCCCCATGTTGGTCCAGTTACAACAAAACACTTACAGATCGTTGATGACATCATGGCATGTAATGACGTCATGAATAATGACGTATGAATGTGCGAGGCTTGCAAGGGACTGTAACTAGGCCAGATCAAAACAAAAACAAAGAAAATGGCGAAGAGTTACCATATTTTTGCGTTTCATTTTTTTTCACGAAATCGTGTCCGCAAATGAGGAATTGTGATAAGAATCGATTTTGATATAAATGCGATACAGTCGAAGAATGTTTCACAATGGATAGACTTCGCAAAAAATTCGTTCCCAAATTCGTACCAAGCTATAAACAAAGACTATTTATATGATATTTCCACGCTATATTCGAAGAACCAATTTGAATGGCTTCGTTTGAGAAACGCAAAGGTACGATAACTAAGATTTATTGCTTAACTAAAGTACTGATACAACATATAAATTTGTTTGATAAAAATATACTTGACAAATTATTTTCTAATTGTATTCATTGTATTGAGTACGTTTAATTGATACGTTATTGTTCTCTCATTAATATTATCAATCGCCTAAAGTTGTACATTTTACAACTTTTCTTAAAGTTTCTTGAACAAGATTTGTAGATATATGTCATGTAACATCCACGTTGCAAATTTTTGAACACAACATTCATTTCAAAAACATCTGACGTCAGTTTCCTAATCCACTTGAATTCTTGAAATTTTAATATTTGACTGTAATCGATCATATTTCCCTGCCAAGTGCCAACAATGAGGAACTGTCAGTTATTTTTTTGTCATGAATACGTTGACTACAAGTTATCCTTGAAAAGAGAAATTTGGGATGGCTTCATGCAAGGAGAAACAAGATGGTAGATTTTAATATGTGTTTATCTGTATGAACTTGCACATTTTGCTGCAATTTTCTTCTCATAGATGCAAACAAGTTGTGAATGTTGAGGATTTCCATCTACTGGGAAAGTACACCCAAAAGCCGTACAAAATATGTGCTTGTTTACATCTATTAAAAGACACTATTGCAGAATATATAACTTAGATAAACAGGCTAAGCCTATCAGGCATGGTTAATTTTATACACAAGGGTTGTATTTTGTTGATATTAGGGAGCTTTAGTGGTTTACTTGTGTTAATCCTGCAAGACTCAAAGTATTCAGACCTAAAGTACAAGTTCGTTGATAATTTTTTTGTTCGAGAATAATGATTTTCATATTTCATGGTTTTACTCGTAGTTTTCACAAAAAAATTTTTTTTTAGGTGCTTTGTTGTATATTGTGCAATGTTCTTTGAACATTTTCTTGGATGTAATTTTGAAGTGATTATGTCATATGCACCCCTTGTCAGATATTGATTGAAATGGGTCTATTTGGCTTGTTCCACTTGCCTTTCAATGGAATTGTGTGACAATTGACAATTGTGCAAATGACTGTAAATTTTATCATTCGAAATAAGTTCATAATTAAGTATTTTATCATTTAAATCTAGCTTATTAGAAACCTGCAAGCTTTGTCATTATACCAAGCGGTATAAATTGTTTGTTAAGACAAGCCAAGAGAATAAACTTAACTCTAGGCCACTGATATTTAGGATTGGCAAAGGCTATCTGATTTGATTTCTTTCATTCGTAGATGACTCTTCTAAGAAGAATGCCAAACCTGTGCAGAAATTGCCATTGAAACGATTTGAACCAGCCATATATAGGTTTTCAAAGATCGCAGTTCCGACTGACCTAGATAGGCTGGAAAGACATAAATATAATATAGAGAAGGTAACATGAGAAATCTCCTCTTGCAAATGATACATCATGCATGCAAGTATATTGCCTTATATACTATAGCTGTTTTGGGGTTCTGTAGATATGTGGTCAATGAGTATAAGACAGATGTCTTTTGGATTGTCTATGGTATAATTAATTAGCTGGTCTTCTATGTCTTGTCTAGTATGTCAAGTGGAAAAATTGGTCCAAATTTGATGTCGAGAGAATTAATGCTGAGAGGACTATAAAGGTTTGATCAAAACATTTGCACAAAAGGACTTATTTTAAAGATATTTCGAATAAGTTAAATGTCTCGTTTGAAATTAGAACTTTGAAAACTATAAAACTTAATAATCTTGCCTTATAATCAGGCGAAATTGATCTGTTGAAGTATTAATTTTTTGTAATATACTGAGTGTCCCTTCTAAATAAGGCAAAGTAAATTTTTATTGCAAATGTGGCTTTAAGGCTAAAGTCCTTGTGCTTGTGGTCATGTTCTTATGGGGTGGTGGGGTGGTGGAGAATGGAATGGATGAAATGACCCATGTACAAGATATCCTGAAGAAAACTTTTGTTTTAGCAACTCAAGGCAAACATCCAAGACATGAGGACTACCAGAGAGCAGGTTGCTGACAATGAAGTAGCTGAATTTGATAGCAAGGTTGATGTTGCATCAAAGAAGGCATTAGCCGAGATCAGCACACTGCAGAAGTTGATTGAAAGTTCTCAGAATGGAAGGGATGATACAGATGGTTCAACAGGGAAACAAAGTCTATCACCAACATTATCAGATGCAGGTATGTCAGTTCCAGCTAGTTTTCAGGGCCGTAGCTGGACTTCTTAATTGGACAAATCAACACATATATGAATATGCACCCCCTGTCCCCCTCCCCAATTAAACTTCCAAGTTCCAACTATGTCCATGCTAATTTTCTAGCTCCCCCCTTGTCCCCCTCTCACCTCCCATAATCACGAGTCATCGCTCACATGAAGGATTTCACGTGATTGTCACATGTATTTTTCCTCAGATTTTCCCTTGGTTCCTCAAGCTGTGGCGTCACCACATGAGACTGAGCCGAGGTCCTCGTCAAGATCAGGCCTTCAAAGATTTGACGTGACTTTACGGACCTTCACGAGAATAACAATACCAACGGCTCTGGAAAGATTGAGAATGCATTGTCAAAATATGGATAAGGTTCGTGCGCAAAAACAACCACAAGATAGATTGTTATCTCAACCGACATGTTAGTTGCATGTTTTGCTTGATGGTTGCGGTTTATCGAACACTTGAGGATAATTTTTCCTTCAAACATTTTTTGTCCAGTTTATACTTTCGTGCGTATGTTTATTTGAATTATTTCCCGCCATTTTCTATTTTCCCGCCATTTTCTATTTTCCCGCCTAAACAACTGCTTAGTTACAAATCAGGGAATATGCGGCTGGAGGTAGAATATATTTTGCCCCCCTTTTCCCAAAAATAATCAGTACTATAAAAAGTATTTAAAATAATAAAATTGTGTATATAAGTTGTAGTAATTTGACACCTTCCCGCTATTCTTCAACATCTGGGGCCGGTTGTATCAAGCCCGTTTAGCTTAAACGGTGGATAAGTTAAAAATAGAAAGCAAGTCTATCGTTTTATTCAACAAGCAAACTAAATGTTTTCAACCTTAATACAAAGATACTGTTTACAACTACATATTCAGTGCATAATATTCAAGTTGACTCATTCAAGAGAGATGTAAAAGTGTTCTTTAATTTTGACTTATCCACCGTTTAAGCTAAACGGGCTTGATACAACCAGGGCGTCTATAGGATAGGGCGGCGAAACGCACGGATGGCGTGTTGAAACATGTGTGATGCGATTTTAGGACTGGGACGGGGCGGTCGGCGAAAAATTCTCGAACGAAACAATATTTACTTGGTTTTTAACAAGCTCGATTAAAACCACTCAATCTCTGAAACCATAAACGCGATATCTAAAATAAGATTTCTCCTGTGTAATTTATAACTCTTTCTATTAATATTGTGTCTTAAAATTGTTTCTTCAAAAGTTAACTGACCGAATTTGTCAAATTAAAACTACGGATACGCACGGCTACTTGGTCTGTTTTTAGATGTATCATACACATTTTGATTTTTCTCAGTGAGGAAAATCCCCAAAAGCATTATACTTCAAGATTTGGTGTACAGAATATTGACGAACATTTGTAGCAAATTTCACTACACAACGTTTTGAACCTTTTTTGCAATCATTTGTAGAAGTGAACGTATTCAAACTTTCTACAACAAAATTGTTTTCACGGCTGCGAGGTCGGAAAATATCAACACAAAATCCCTTTAAATTATATTATATACTTAGATAACGTTCCGAATTGAAAATATGATATGTTTTTCTTTCGTCATGGCAATGTCGACCTGGCCAAGCTAAAAACAAAACAAGAAAATGCTAACTTACTTGCAAGAGCATTAGACCGCGTCGCAAGAACGTTTTTGAATTTTCAATATACAAAATTTCCATTAAAAAATTGAAAACCTTGCCATAGCTCCTAAAGCTGGAAAATTTAGAAAATAACTCCCTTGTTCATTAACATCGATTCCACGTGCAAATGGTTGCATAATGTTTTGAACCTTTTTCACAATTTTCTCTGGAAAACGACAACCATAAAACGGAACCATGTTTACAAACTTGTCTTGGTAACCAGCGGACTGGGACGAGTATAAAAAACACGAAGAAACCCTTTCAAGAACAGCAATTAACTCCTTTACGTTGAAATTAACAGTATTTCCAACTGGAAATGACGAATTTGTGTCATTTGTTGCCAGATCAGTGTCATCCAAACTTATAAACATCTCAAGTTCTTCGTCATCTAAATAACCCGCCGCCATTTTGAAAACAGTTTTTCGAATCTTCATGGGGGGTCCGCACATCACACATGTTTCAACACGCCATCCGTGTGTTTCGCCGCCCTATCTTATAGGCGCCCTGATACAACCGGCCCCACATCCCTGGGGCCGGTTGTATCAAGCCCGTTTAGCTTAAACGGCGGTTAAGTTCAAAATAGAAAGCAAGTCTATCGTTTTATTCAAGAAGCAAGCTAAATGTTTTTAACCATTATGTAAAGATAATTTTTACACTACATATTCAGTGCATAATTTTTAAGTTGACTCATTCAAGAGAGATGTAAGAGTGTTATTTAATTTTGACTTATCCACCGTTTAAGCTAAACGGCCTTGATGCAACCATGTGGATCAAAAATTGCCATCTGTGCTGTATTGGGATGTTTCATTTCATCATTTTCAACTTCTTTTTAATCGTTGTGTTTGTTTGTTTAGTATTACCGAGAAAGAATGTGGCACGAATTGAATGTCGAACAGATTAATGCCGGAATAACTGTGCAGGTACAATAAACATGATAACATTTTACCAGAAACAACCGTTTTCAAACTGACCCTGGGCCCCTGCTGAGATTTGCACATGTTTATAAGAGAAATAAATTCTACCCCCCCCCCCCTCGGTACAACGCCTTTTGTCAAAGGAAAGGTTGTCAGTAAAACCGAAAACCGCTTGTAAACAATTTGTAATGAAAATAGTATGTGCATGTTTTGCTCGTGTTTATGATTTGGAATTTGCTTCCAGCATCTGAAGAAGAGCATTGAAGATATCGAAGTGCTTCGGAAGCGGGTCCCTTCACGGGAGCTGGCGGAGTTTGACGAGCGTGTGGGACCGTCTTACGAAAAAGCCCGAAGCGCAATCGATTCGTTTATGAAATTCCAAACGAAATACCAGCACGCAGCCCCACCAGGGCCAGGGGCTGCCCAACGAATTGACACCAAGAATGATGGGAGCGGAACTGAGATAAGCGGTTAGTGGAGTTGCATCGTTAACATAATTAAATGTGGCATAACAGCTGCCAAAAATAGACCAAAACGCTTTAATATATCGATGTTTTCACCTAAGGGCCTTCCTCAGGATATATCCTTAGACTGTGACGATTAAAGTTCTTAGGTGTTTGCATCATATTGAATTAGCAGTGATTCGTAAGTTCTTAGGTGTTTGCATCATATTGAATTAGCAGTGATTCGTATTTAGCGCCAGAAATTAACATCCAGCGTACATTCTAATCTTAATAGGAAACTTTGTAAAACAAGAGGTGATTCCTGACGAAGCAACAGTTCATTCTTGGGACGACCTACAAAAGGTTTTTTATAAATACTCCTGTAGTTTAGACAGTTGTTAACCAAACATGTAAGCAAACACTGTAGTAGACAATTGAAATTGGTTACCTCAGATTCATTTATTGGACCAATTTTTTATTGGCTAGACAATTAACTAAAAACGTGGTTAAATTGATAAATTTTTGGTTGTTTTTTGGAATGAAATTGAACAAAAAGAGATAAATCTGAGACAACCAATTTTAAGTTAGTTGTTTTGACAATCTGTTTTCTAGAGAGCTATCTCATTTCATGTTAACCGCATTCATCTATGTACTAGTGTTTTAAATCATGGATTTCATCTTTGTATTATATTTTTTGTATAAATTGCTGGGCAGACGTCGATTTTATTACCTTTTAAACTACGCTTCGTTTTTTTTCTAGAGCTTGGTTGAGTTAAATGATCTGATTCATGAATTCTCTCATTTGGTGCATGTAAGTTGACGCAGATGCAAAGAAAAACGCTTCTTGTGTTTTGTCAAAACATTGTTTAGATCACATAGTCGCAAATATATCTTCTGGCCCTGGGAGCTTCACTCTCAACATCAAAAGATGCGATGTGATTGGTCCATGATGCACGAGGGCGAGGCTCCAAGACCAATGGCTTATTGTAAAAAGGGTATATTCACAGCCAACTGAGAATAATTAATAATCAAAGCGTTGCTCAACCGTGATTGTAGTTATTTATCTTTGGTAGGCACAGCAACCTGTCGTGGATGAAATCGAATCAAATATTGAGAATGCAGAATTCAGTATTCACGAGGCAACGCAGGAACTTGGCAAGGTAAGACTGTGGTTCCACTTGCGGAGAAGAGGTTTGCTAGCGAAGTATTTGCCCATTATCTTTTGAATTGAGAGTGCAGAGAGTCAAGTTGAACTGATTTATTTATGCAGTTAAAATTCAAAAGAAAGTATATGCAAATATTTCTATAGCGAACTTTTCTCTGCAAGTGGGAATGTAACTCCTTTCGAATATTAGGATGAAACGGTGGGGCTAGGGGTGAAGGTGTACAATGTACGGGAACCTATGTTCTCTTTTGTTACCCTCTTTATCCCTCATTATCTTTCCACAGGCAGCGAAGTTACAAGGAATGGTTCTTCCCGCTATCGGAGCGGTCGTGGGTGGTGTCGTTGGAGGCCCGGTAGGTTTGTTGGCGGGGTTTAAAGCAGCCACCGTGCTGACCGCAGTAGGTGGGGGGCTGATTGGGTTCAAAGCCACGAGCTACATTAAAAACAAGCGAGAGGAGGCAGTCGATAGTGAACTGGAAAAATTAACGGATAGAAACGATGAAAATGAGGATTATGATGACCATAGTTGATACGTTTGAGCTCCTTCGATTTTACTGCGAAAGTCTTGTGCACAGTTCTCAGTCTGACTGAATTTCTGTGGTAACGAACAAGTTTGTCCTGGGAAAATTTCCATGAGAAGATCTATTTGCTCGTCTGTAATATATGTAGATTTCATCCAAGTCGCTTAAAAGCGGTCTGGTTTCATCCACACTTTAGTGCAGTGCGCTCATTTGCCTAAAATTTGTTTCACTTTTTATCTCACATCAAAGGCTAACCCTTGTTTATTTTGAAAGATTTTCGTATGGAAAGTTTGTGTCAAGCAATGAGAACGAGTGCGCTTGCAGTATTGTCAGTAATCCTTCTCTGTTCAATAAATCCTATATAAACGAGTTTAATCCTTGAGATTAGGTTTGAAATTAAGGTTAACTTTAATCAACTTAATCTTAGACCTTATCTTAATCCTAACTTAATCCAAGGGTTAATTTCGTGTATTTAGGATTCAATGAACATACAATTATTACCACATTTTCGCTTATTGCAAAACTTTGGATTATGACGCTTGTATGTGTGTTCATTTCATCACATACACTAGAATCACATAAGAATGTGCGCATAGTTTGAATGGGCCTGGACATGAAGTGCTAAAGGATATTATGAGGTACGCTTCCGTTTCACGCCTGTTTTTCTGTGTCAAAGAGTCAGCGGTGTCTTTCTTCATAAATAAAATGAACTATTCAAAAGCCTACTCTCATCTGCAAAGGATGCGAGTGGGCCCTGGCCCTTTGTAATACGTGATGATTTAAATATGTCTAGACGTGGACAACCTCGTTTGCGGTACACAAGGAAACGTGGAGGAAAAAACGTAATCCATAAACCAGCATCTTTAAAAAATATTAAGATCTTTGTCGAGGTTAAGACAACAAATTTATGAAGTAACATCAACACAAATTTGAGCCTTACCAGACCCACCCAAATTCCTGCAAGAGGGTTGAAACTTGAAACTTAAAATTTTTCGAATTCGCGTACGGCATTAGAAAAATTGTTAGAATTTGCTGTCAGGCGTTGAAAACGACCTTACTAACAACAGATTACATTGGCACGCTTTTGGAAAGTCGTGGTAATTTGATGGCCGGCATTTTGTGCCTGTTTCGCTCGCTAATGTTCTCGGTTTTCTGTCCCATCGCTGGCATACACAATCATAAATAGTAATATTCATACAGAAAAGTTTTTATAAGTACCATCCAGAAATATAGGCTAACGCACTCGATCAGGTAGCCAATCTGTAATTTGTAAATGACATAATTGAGATGTATTTAATTAAAGATTATTTGCTTAGATTAAAAGTATTTAGATGCTCGTCATCACAAAAGTGTCCACGGATTACGAAGAACCGTCTTCATCTAATAATTGTGTTAAGGAAGCGCTGTCTTATCAACGTTGTTTGGACTTTTAATCAGGGGCGCCGGAAGCAGTTTAAGGCAGCGGGGGCAGAGTTTTAGAAAAGGGCACATTCATTTTACCCAACCACACGAAGAGGAAACTCAAATTTACAAGTACATGCGAACACCGCAAATCCACGGGAAAACGCATTTTCAATAATATTATCGGTTAGTTTTTATGCGAGAAGTAGGCGTCATGATTAAATGTTGAATTTATGATACTTTTATACGGTAGCAAAGGGCACAGGGCTGCCCCCGCTGCCTTTAATGGCTTTTTGCAAACGAATGTGTGTTTCGTCAGGCTGATGCATTGTCATGGGCCATGGCCATCAACGGGGTGCGACTGCGCGTGGCCTGGGCGTAACTAAAACATGATACGAGCTTTTTTGCGTCAATGCGTTTTTTTACTTCAATTGTTCCCACAACGAGAGATGGTGTTACACATACTAACCGCAATGCGGACACAATCGTTTTAATTGATCTTTAGATTAATAGATTGGTTAACTCACTTTAAAAAAACAGTCGGAATATCGTCTATGTTTCCAGGCTATCGTGCATCGTCTCCCTTTTCCATCCGATAGAGACCTGATAACTTTTTGAGCTTAAAGTAGTGGGGATACAACTACAAGATTGCTAAAAGCACATCATCATCATCACGCTCCTCGCGAAGAATCTTGAAAATTCGCATAAATTGCGTGGGTGATCGTATGACATCATCCTCGGCTTACATTCGGAAAACACCGAGTAATTCCGGTTGTAGAATCATTACGCTGAAATCAACAAGCTTCCGTTCTTCAAATCGTTCGTTCGATATCGATATTTGCCAAAACTTGTTTGTGATTGCGTTGTGATTTCGAGGGTGTTCTGGGCGAGTTTACCGGCGAAAATCTTTGTAGAACAGCCTCGGGAATAGCACTATCATGCAACGATTCCGTCGTGCTATCAGTTTTCGTCGATCGCAGAGACACGTCCCAGAAAGCTGTCGTCCTCATCAATGGGAGAGCGACAGTCATAAAGTTAAATCAGGCGGAATTAGCTTTCCCGTTAAGGTACGAATATTACCAGAAATTTACATATATCTCTATCGTAAAGGTCCATTTGCTTTTCTCAAGGCCTTTGCCTCTTTAGTACACGTGTTAGAACTGTGTTATTCGCTATAAGCGTTGTCTAAACGTGTTGTTTTTCGTGTCATCACAGTACCTTGGGGCACAAGAAGTGGCAGAGTCGCGTGGAACTCAGATATGTAGTGAGGCAGCCAAAATTCTTAAAAAGAATGTAAGTTTTCGACAAGTTATTACGCTGCTCCGTTATCCAATTTATGAATGTATAATTCTACAGTAATCCTAACATTTTTTCGCCCGAGATATTGGGAACTTTCCAGATTTTAACGAGATACAATTTAATAGGAATATCGCGACAGGCCTTGCGGTGTTAGCGACATTCGAAGCGAAGTTTCTAATGGCTTCGAAACTCACTTGCAATTTCTAAATTTTTACAGAAACGAAGGCGAAGTCGAAAAATGACTCTGCTAGTTACCGAGGATTGCATACGGGTCGTCGACGACAAAACCAAGGTTTGAAAATTGTTATTTTGAACGCAGTACGCTTCGCGAATTTCCCATGTGTGAAATATTTGCCTGTCATTGTGAGGCTGTTCTCACCGTAATAACCGTCGTGTGTGTCTGTTTTGTTTGTGACAAAAAGTATCTCGTTTTTCCTATCTTTTGTTACATTGGTCAGACTATTTATTGCCCCTTTTTGTGTCGATCTAATCTTGGTGAAATTTAAGTTAAAATTACACTTGCGACGATTCGCAAATGGCGAATAGATTTACGATAAGGCAGGACACGTTATCTATATTTTGAATAGAGTTTATATGCTTGGGAGGTTCTTCTAGAACGAAGTGTTCCGTTTGTGCTTTATTACAACCGTCTTTAAAGAGCATCTTTTACGAAAACGCGCAGTGTTTTCAAGGTTGTTTGCTGTTTCACTATAAAATCGTAAACATTTAGCCAGCTTTAAAAGAGGTGATATTAAATTCGGTGTGTGGGCCGGTGTCAAGCAAGTATGTTGCTAATATAAATACGCATTGCTTCGCACGGCATAAAAAACGTTTGCAAAGTTATGTCTCGTTTGAAGGAACGGCCAGTAATCTTAAAATTTTATTGTTTTTTCATTAATTTCAAACTGGGCAACGTATCTAAAATGTGTTTTATTTAATAAATGCAGTAATTGTAATATGTGTATTGTTATTGTTTCCCTAGCGAGCTTCAAGTAACCTAAGAATATCAATGTGAATAATTCAAAATGTCTTTCACAACTTTGCTGTTTTTTAAACTTGAAAAATATGTAAGATATAGACAATGAGTAACGAAGGTGCGGCTATTAATTGTTTCCTACATCGAAGTGCAGTTATTCCCTTTCCTCATACCTGTACCTATGACTACATATGTATGCAATTATATGTAATTCGGGGCTTTTTTTCTTCATTCTTCTAACCTATCATTCTTCGTTTGTTTCAACTAACTTTTTCATCAAAGTATCCAAAGTATTTCTTAGAGAGAAATCAATTAGAACCGGTACTATTATGGGAGAATATGATTTGCCCAAATGCTAACTTGCAGGTTTATCAAAAAAATTCAAAATGAAAATATCTTTTTGAAAGTAAAAACTCAAAGGATTAGTTTATTTTCAGATTTGTAAATTCCCACTCCCATAGATTGCTTAAGGTTCCTTATTAGAACTGTTTCTTATGCAAATACAAAAGGCATGGCAGGAAGTTATGTTTCAGGGAAAAACCTGTTTCAGGTCAAATGAAGGTTATATCTAAACATAAAGTTAGGTCTTTGACCTCTTTCATTGCGAAGAAAGTGGGTGTAGTGTGGTTCTTTCCAAGCAACGAACTAAAAACAATGGACATGGATTTTTTTGTAGCAACTGGTGATAGATCAGACAATTGAAAAAGTGTCGTTTTGCACACCAGATCCATACAATGAGAAACTATTTTGCTACATCAGTAGAGACGGTACTTCACGCAGATGGATGTGTCAATGTTTTAGTGCAAGACGTGACACGGTATGTACTATGTACTACGTAGGCTTAACTTTTTAAATGTTTACTCAATACAGCAGCATGTGCCTTGTAGATTGTTTGCACTTAGCTTATTACAATTTTATGTGCTTGACAATTTATCAATAAAAGCATTGTGCCTTTTTTAAATTTAACTCATATTAAAGTATGTTTCCTTGAAATTCAACATTTCTGGCAGGTTTTAAAACAAACAAGTTGACCTTTGATATGTTTGTGGTTTGCATATATGTAACATGTGGCATAATCTTTTAATATCCTTTCAGGGTGAAAGGTTGAGTCATGCTGTTGGCTGTGCATTCACTGCATGTTTGCAAAGGAAGCAAAAACAAGTTGCTTTGAAGGAACAACATCAAGAGGTAAAGGGGAGAAAACCCATAATTTTTTTGCTTCCTCTCTTGTGTAAACATTAAAAGCTGCTTGCAAGTTAACTCTTTGTGTAATAATAAATAAATCACTAATCAAAAAGTATAATAAAAAAAGGCAAATTAGAAAGAATGAAGCCATCTTGAAAATTAAGATACAGTTGATGTATAAAAAGGTTGATTTACATGCAGAGTTTTGATTGTTTTGAATTCATGGTCAGATACAATGACTCTGTGTCACATGATGAATCAATGTGTCACAGGAAGAGTCATTGTGTCTGATCTAAACTTAGAAATAAAATCGAAGTTTACACAATGAGTCATTGTTTTTAACATGACTTTGCTGCCTTCATTATTTTAATTAAAAGATGGCTTTTTTCCTTGGAACTTACTTCCTTTTACCTTTTTTGAAATTGTCAACTGGATGTGCAATCATTACTTTTAATATGTGTCTTATTGCTTTTAATATACGTGTCTTATGGCTTTTAATATGTCTCCATAAATTATGTTTGAAGTAGAAAGCCATTTTTTATTAAAGAGGTTTTAAAAAAAGTCAACAGTGACATGCAAATGAGATAGCAATAACATTTCACTTTCTGTATTTAAAAATATCTAGCCATTGCTAACTGACATAGTAAGAACAGGTTCAGGTAAAACCTGGTATCAGAAAGTTGAATGTTATCACAGCTAACAAGCTTGAATTGCATAGAATTGAACATGCTATTTCTTGTAGCTGGTGTGAAAATTATGGCACAAACTTTGAACACTATTTTCATTTGACATGATATTCCCCATTGCATAGAGGCCCACCCCCCTTTATCTAACAAATCATTGTTATTTAAAGTGAATATGCAAAAACCTGCAATATTTCAGGGACAAGCATATAGCTCTGCATCAAGTTTATTTCATGAGAATGGTTGGGAAGGGGGGGTTGAAAATAGGACATATTGCTAAAGGAGATGGGGGGTGTGAACTATGTAATGGTTAATGGTTTAAAATTTTTATTACAGAGGCAAAGTATGAGGTTACCATCAAATAAGGACAAAGCAGCATCTGAGACTTCAAGACAGGAAACAGAGAGCAAGCCGAGTACAAGCTCAATCGATCCCAACAAAACCCCTAGTACCCCATCTGTATCCAGTAACCAGGGGAGTCCCATGCCAAGTGTCACTTCGAGTCCTACCCACTCGAACGCGCCAATAGGATTGGACCTTCCTCAGGCGGAGCCAATCAGAAAGAAGGAGAAGAAATTGAACCTTCAATCGAGACCGCGGCCCCAGGGTAGCACCCCTAACCCCTTCACGCGTCACACCTCCCTGCGATACCGTTCACAGCCGTTGTCGCTGCAACCGTTAAAACCCGGGAAATATGAAGTACTCGCTGACGAATCCGTCGTACCCAGGCTACCGGCCGAGGAGCCGGCTAAGAATAAGCCCACGGACATTGACGCCCTGCTGTCTATGAACGACCCTGCGCCCACGGTGCCTAATACGATGAATAACGCCAACGGCGGTATTGGTGGTGACATGCAGTGGTCCGGGCACTCGGCAGGGCTTCTCATGACCTCGCAAAATAACCCAAATGAACAAACTAATTCTTGGTCGAACGAACTCAAACAAACGAACCCATTTCAAGTAAACGGTGATGATTTTAGCGGCTTGGCAAATCGGCATCAGAATCCCGAAGGAAAGGGTGTTAATCCGTTTAAACAAGGCGAACCTGTCCATTGGTTATAATAGCGAATGTGGGCAAAGAATAAATCCGGAACTTGACCAAGAACGAAGCGTTTACTGTTGAAATTTTTGTCAAGATGTTTATGGGTTAATACTGCGAACATTGCTCGTGCGGACATCGGCACAAGGGCGAAATTCGTTTGAGGTTCAACGCTCAAGAACGATGGTATTAGTATATATCGTAAACATTGGTTTTAATCTGAGCTCTTTTAGTTTTAACATATCTTATTTTGCTGTTCAACGTATTATATTAGGATATATAATATAGCATTGCATGTGTTTTTAAAGTTGCCGAAGCGAAGTACTTTGAAAGAATTTCGTTGTCTTATATACTTGTACGTTTGCCAATTTTTTTTATTTTACCCTAAAAGGCAATACCAATTTTAACTAATTAGGCTTGTGTAAATTGCGGCGGATGAAGTGCTTGTATTCTACTTACTCGGAACAAAAAGCAACGTGAGAACTATCGGCCATTTTTACATTACCATACAGTAAAGAAACCACTGGAATCTTCGACAGAGGTTTCTGGCAGAGGTGGTATTTTGCTGCTCGTCTAGCTAAGGAAAAGAAGTCGCTTCTCTAAATGTTTATTGTATACGACAAAGCAATGAAATTCGCGGAATTGGAATCGCGCGAAAAATTTTTCACACATTTTTGCATGAGCAACAATGTTTTAGCCGAATTTACTAAACCAGAATTTTTTATTTAATCAGTTCGAGTTATCAGAGCTTGTTTGACGAGGAATATTCTGAGGTCCGTTGCAGGCTTTTTTAATCCCAAAATCGGTCCCAAATCAGTTAGACAACACAATTATATTTTAAAATATTTGTTATGTTTATCAATTTGGCGAGGATTGGCTTTCTTTTGACAAATTTTGCTTCCGCATGCTGTCTTGTAAAATGTAAAGTTTTAGGTTGGTGATGAGTTGTTGATATCAGCATGTTCTTTTGCAGAAAACATTTTAACAGAGAACTTTACTTTGCAGATGCGAACGTTCGTCAAAAGCTCTAATCCTTACTTAATCAACGTAACATATTGTTATTAATCATTTTAGCATTGCTGTCCTTACCGATTTAAATTGGAAAAGAATTTTATATTTTTTGATCGACAGCCGCCATCTTTTTTATTATATATGCCAATATGGCCGATTATTCTTGCGTTGCTAAATTAGGCGGCAAAATCTCCCAAGCGCTTTCGAGAACTATTCCGACTATATTTGTTGTCTGTTGAACTCGAGTGTAACGATTTATAATGACAATATTTCGTTTGGCATATTGCACATACTTTGTCGAGCAAACTTGCCCAAATTTGCACAAGAAAATTTTGATTGCAAAATTTAATGATAAAACGTGCATGATTCGGGCACTTGACACTAATTTTTTCGTGGTCGCAATATTCTTAGAGCCAATTAAGGACGCGAAAAATATCTCTAATTTCACTTAGGATCAATTATAATGTATGTAGAAATAATCGCTTTTAATTTGTAAATGTTATTTAGCGCTCAAGACTTGTATTACTGTAAAATAAAGCACTTTTAGATAATTACGACAATTACAGTGATGAAAATAAAAAGACCAAACTTTTATTCCACTCGTATTCGCAATCCCTAGGATTTCTATCCATTTCGCGTTAAATTTCGAAAGTAGTGTTTTGATTCTAATCCGTATCTCGCTTACGACAAATCTATGTTCTCCTAATGGCTTATGGGAATGCGCTAACAGAATGTTAGGGCGCAAAGACCCACGGGAATGCGGTGCGTTATAAAGAAGTCTGATATATATACACGCCATGCACATGTTTCGTCGAACCTTTCATATTTTTTTGTAATTAACAAGCCAGACATATGTCTGCCTTTTAACGTTAAAATTTAAGAAAATCGATTGCCGTGTTTTCTTTTAAGAACGTCACTAGTAGTAAACATCTTCCATCAGATATTTGGTCTAAAATTCTTCTTTATTACAAAATCGATGTCCTATTTACACCAGAATATTTGAAGGAGTAACGTGATCGACTAAACTTCACATGTGGTCCCGTACTAGGGTCGGAAAAATATCAGTCTGTGTACAAGGTATGTGCAAACGTTGAAAAATTTGACCACCATTCACCAACCCAGGACTTCTTTTTTAACTGGATCATTACTCAAATTACCCATGATCTGTTTGTGGTTTTAATAAGAAAGTGGTTCATGCACAGACGAGTTGCTGCACGTGCAAGCTGTTTCCAGCTATCTTCTCTTCATCATCAATGCGTCTTCGCTATTTTACTCTTCGCTTCTAAAACTTTCACCCTATCAGCGCTAGTGATATCAACAACTTTCGAGTGCACGCCATCGGTTGCCTTGGAAACTTTGACATCCATGGGACCTTTGGACTTAATCAATTTCTCCTTACCCTTCAACAACACTCCGTTCTCCACGTGATCCCTCAGTTCCCTGGAGTCCCCGATTGGGTGACCGTTGACCTTCAAAAGAACTCCGCTAGGACGGGCGATCTTATCTTTCTCAGACAACTGTCCAAAGCCTGGTTGCTTCTGTATCATGTAACTCACCTCATTCGGTGACATCGCCTGTGCGTGCGACCCACCCAGTGTAAAGCCTGCCGAATTAACACTCATTGACGCAGACCTTGGTGTGTTCGACTCATCTGAACTGGAGTCCCCAAAGACCTGTCTCGTTCCATGCCCTCCGAGCATGAAGACACTCCTGTCGTTCGAATTGTCCGCATGCTCCCCGGCCATTGCTTCGCCCAAGAAAGGCATCAAGGTTCTTTGCGCATTTATTCCAACGCCTGGTTGGATCATAGGGTTGCCCAGAAATGCTTCGGGCATCCCCATCATTCCTGGTCGCATCGGTAGCCCCAGGCCCCGATTTTCCGATGTGTACGTAGGATCGTTTCCAGGCAGCATGTCGTAAAGACGCTTTCTAGTCAGAGCCAGCTGCCGTTCTTCTTCACGCATTCGGGGTGAATCTTTGAAACGGGCTTGTTTATCAAAATTATCGTTATAGCCATCATCTTCGTCGTCATCATCGTCGTCGTCATCATAGTCATCATCATCGTCTTCATCACCGTCCTCATCATCATCGTCATCATCATCATCATCATCGGCCCTATCGTGATGATATCTGCCCGGATTTTTGTGTCTCAAACTTGGTCTTCTGCTTTCCTCGTCCTGGTCGTCCGATGGGGTGTGATGGAATCTTATATCCCCGGGAATATGACCAATATCCCGATACAACCCTTCGTCACCTTTGTTATCGTCAAATAATCTTTCATCCGCCTTGTTATGTTTCAATATATCCCCGTGTCGGTCTATAATAAACGGAAGCCTCGAGTCACCGTATGGCTCGCTATTGCCACCGTCTGGGAAAAAGCTGTCGGATCGAAACGGAACAACCCTTGGAGCCTGATTTTGTAACACTACAGGTACCAGCGAGGTCATTCCTTTGTTTCCTTCGTTATTTGCCAGTCTTACTGAGATAGGCTTTAGAACAACTTGCGTGCTTTTAGGCAAGTGTGCCAAATCTTCGGGGTCCTTTCCCCGAGATAGATAACTCTCTGTCGGGACAACTTTCTTCAAAGCCTCCAATGGTATCGAGATAACATTCACCGATTTGTCGGTTTTGTGCCCTTTGCTGTTACCCAGGACCCCGTACATTTTATTGGTTCCGGCGTCCGTGGCCACTGCGCTAATTTTTTCGGGTATTTTATGAGTGGCGACGTCCTTCTCTTTCGATTTATGGCTATCACCGTCGTCGTCGGCATCGCTGTGGAGAAGCGTCTTGACTTTCCCAAGCAAAGTTTTCATGAATTTTATCTGTCCTTTTTCAGGCATGTCTGATTTCTTTCGTGTTTCTTAGCGAAGGTCTGTACGCTGATACGCCTGGTTGAGGTTCATAGTTACTTGTGGGTATTTCTGTTTTTCTTGATTTCTGACCACTGACGGGAGCCGAGTTTTTCGACTGAAACTCCTGGTAGGTCTCGGTTATTTCTAAGAAAGTAAAATTGACTAGGTTAGGTGCTATTTTACGCCAGGAGCTGCTATTTAAAAGTCCGATTTACACTATCAAATTTTCCGTGTTCACACTTGGAATTTTCAAACAACAAATCCTAGGTTTTAAAAGATTTGTTCAAATACTGAAGGGAACTGTAACACTAATACTAAGTTATTTCATCCTAATATTCAGTACAAAATGTTTAAAACTTTGGATTTAACAAAGCAAAATTGCAACTGTTATCACAGAAACTTTGACAGTGTAAACCGTGCCTAAGTATATACAAGACCTGTCGGAATTATGAACATTTTTTTGTAAATTTTTAATCGACTACGATATAGCGGTTTAAACATGTGTAACAGGCCACATTAGTTTAGCTGGATGCTGTACTGCCCATGACTCTGGACAGCAGTTCTGTTCTTCCCATGTGGTCCTGTAAACATGCAATCTAATAGCTTTTGTAAGGCAACTAGCGGCACCGTGATGACCTTTATATAATCAATCTACAATGGCGTTGAGCAATCTTCGAGCTTTCGCATTTACCCTCTAACCAAAACATCGCTCGTATTAAATTTTACACAGGGTGCTTCGTGCAGCCTAGCAGTGGGCGAGGAACTGGCTTGTGTCTGTAAATCGATAAAAGTGTCCTTCAAACTCAGTCAATCCAGAAACCAACAGATAATTATATCGATAGGGTAACTTAGCCATTTATTTTCTTATCTTAAAAGTATCATGATGCATTTGTGAATCAATAGAAAAGTGCATTTTCTCTCGAAACTCTTGGGAATCATATCATATTTCTTTCGTGTTGATATATATAAAAGAGAAGTGATACATCCTCACCTTGTACGGTACAAAATTGTCAACAAAGGACCAATCTTAGATTCACATATAAAAAAAGTTGAAGATTACTTACCTAACGGAGCTCCAGTACAAACACTGTAGACCGCCCACAGCAAACCCAAAACCAAACCGTAGTTTTTAACCATTTTCAATGGGTACCCACGAAAAACATAATTTATATTTCCTTAGAAATTGCCATAAATTTTGATTTTATTCACTACATTTTCACGATCTCGCACGCTAAGCGATTTTTGCACGGAGCGAGAAAGATGACGTCATTCCTTCGAAGCAGGTACGATCAAGCACAGACGTTCAAACAGAAAGTTTTTTAATGAGTTTTCGATCTGCTAGCTCATAAAAACGTTGATACTTCGAAGAGATTTTAGATTTTGCTAGTCCGATGAACGTGATTTATAACATTGTTTGTTATAAGGATTTTAAGCCTGCTCTGCTTCAGTTATTTTGAAACTGGTGGTTTGCGGGTGGATCAAATATGCTCGTCTGAAATTGACCATGCCTAATTCCGACGCAAATATCAAATACATAGCTGTGTTCCGTTGAGGTGATTTTCAGCGCATCACTGAAAATGGCGTTTTTAGCATAGCATGTGATGTCCATTGATGTCTACTTTGATAGCATTGTCTGTCTTGTGAGAAATGAGGCAATGGTATTATTGGGGTTGTTGAGGGTTGTTGCAACATTGTAGCAGTTCACAAAAATAATCAACGCGCTAACATTTATATGTTTATGATTATGTTTATTTCCATAGACCATACTTCGTAATTAATGATAGCCCTTAGTTTTTGAATACGCTTATCATCTTCAATGGCCTTTGTGGTATTTTTTTGGTCGGGTATTTAGTTGCACAATCTGAAAAAGCTATGCCTACAATTAGCAACCACACGTTTCGTGATTAGCAATACAGCTTTGCTCGCAAATATGATATAAATTTACACGCGTTGCTTGCTGATTAATATAGTGCTGCACAGCCACAAATGTTCGTAAAGATCCATTGCTGTATAGGGTCTTACAATATGGGGCAGTTCAAAACAGGTTTGACTGTAGTAAAATCTCGAAGTGAATATTGCAAATGAAAAATTATATATAATCAAGACTTATGTCAAACGAAAATTTAAAGCAGCATCGATTTTACTTTTAATCCGAAAACAATTATAGTCAATTAAATAAACCACAATCATTTCTTTTTTAACTGATAACAAATTGTTTTTACAAAACTGAATTACTTTTGAAACCGCCAAATAGCTAATATCTTTCATCCATTAGTTGACTTACTTTGATAAAATTCAAGAAAAACTATAGAAGTGTTTAGAACACTTCTGGATTCATGACTGGACCTTCTTACCTTTCGCGTTTCCCACGAATGACACCTGTAACGAATCACGTGATAGTTGTGACGTCACTGGATCACTATCTACGATCGTCCCAATATTATACGATTTACAAACTGCGATATTTAACGGGGAAATTCTCGTGTCAAACAGCGCACGCGGACGTTGGGAGTCTCGTACGAATCGGAAGATGCTTCCGTAGGAAATTACAATGTGAAAATACACAGTTCGAGAAGCCATGTGTTCGGGAAAGATTTTGGAATCTTATTTCTTATCGGGATTAATTGTTACTTTGCTTTGTTTCGCCTCGGGTAAGTGAAGTTTGGAGTTTTGTTGAATGAGGGAGCGGTAATTGAATTTGCACAAGTGCGCTAAATACAAATTTTCTTCGCACAGGCCTTTGGGATTTTAGCTCAATTCGCGCCTACGAAAGGTCCTCAAAAGCGTTTCAAATAAAAGCCATTTTGATTATATTTTAGTTTTTTTGTTTTGTGCAAATAAAACAGGTTGTTTATTTAAGCGTTGTTGCATATTCACTGGGCAATCGTACGGTCTTTAATTATGATTTTTTAAAAATTATCGAACCATGAAGAAGCCCTTATGCGATGAACAGGGTAAACTCTAGTTGAATTTTCGATTTAATTTTTGCAAAAAATATTCAGCTTTTTTGAACCTTTTCAAGGTTCTGTCTCTATTTGAAAGTTTTAATCGCACGCAATTTACCTCTGTACAAATTTTGATGATCGTGAAATGTAGAGTAATCACTACTCAAGCATGTTTATGTTTTGTCTACTTCATAAATCGTGTTTGTTTTAAAATTATAATTTCATCTTTTATATTCGGTAGTATTTATTGAAAATATAACTACATAAGCATCTTTTGAATGCGTTGTTGGTGAAATTTGATCGGAGCTCATAAAAATCAAGCTCTTTGCAAAACTTTTGTCCTGAGAAATATGCATAGCTTTTTCTTTATTTGTCTGTCAATTAAGGTTATAAAAATAATGACCATGCAGACGATAGTTTAAAACGTGGTCAGTATTGAAAAAGTAAATTCCGAAATATAGCAAGACATTTTGAGAATGCATTACATTAAGATTCAAACTGTGTCGGTGAGGTTTAAACCGGAACTTTTAGAATGAAATGCATTCTAAAAGTTTCCTTTTTCTTTGAAGTTTGCTTTATCGGATATTATAATTGATTATTCTTATTGAAGTACTTATACTTCATGAACATACTTAACGAATTACTATTTCTACTAACATATAGGAAAATTTAACAGCAGAACTACTGACCGTGATCAACTTTCAACTGACAAACATAACCTACTGCAACATTTAACAGACGATGATACCCTTATAACAACGTTAGAGAAACCACCTCGCAAATCTGCCCATTTTACAAACGCTCGCCATAGCAAAATAACAAAGGTCGTCATAAAAAATTCTGATAAAAAATCATCAAAATGGCGTGAAAATAAGTTACGCAAATTTCGGGAAAAGAAGAAGAGTTCCAGGAATAGGTTTATAGAAAAAAGCGAACAATCCAAAAATTGGTTGGGACGATTCATAAAGGAAAAGGGAAATTCTAGGAAGGTGATTCACAGAAAAAGCCGGGACGATGGATCGACCTATGAGGACGACGATAATGAAGATATTCGAAGCAAAGACGAAGAGGAAGATGAAGACGTTCAGCTGATTATAATTCCAAGAAAGCCACGGAAACATTTGCAGCCGAAAGTTCGAGTTCAAGACGTGAAAGACACAAATGGAGAATTACAGGTGTCGGAAAACACGGAAAGTGATTCCGAAAATGATAACAAAGTTTCTGGAAATTCCGTTGACGATTCCGAAAAGTATCCCGAAATCTCTAACAGTGATAATGACGACGTCAGCGATTCCGAGAATTTGCAGAATTCTGGAAAAATTTTCAAGAAACCAAAGCGATTCCATCAGAAACATCTCCAGGATAAATCAAAAAATGCAAACGATGATGCCACTTTGACTTTGGAAAGAGTTGCACCCGAACGGGATGATGACGACGATTCTAAAAATAGCCACCAATCAGATGGGGGAGATTATGACTTACATCTTAAAGTGAAAGATAAGAGTGGAACGAAGGTCAAACTAAGTGGAGATCTCCCAGGAAACATTGGAAACCTTATGGCGGTTGGAGAGGACGGAGGAAAGGTGGTGTTAAAAAATACTGGGGAAAATTCAGAGGAATCATCAGACGTTGTAAAGAGCGTAAAGTTACAAGACGGTATTGATGATGCAACTACTGACAAACTAGCGCAAAGTTTGATCAAAATAAAGTCCGGTAAGTTTAAACATTCACCTTATCCATCCACTGTTTTGTTAAAACCGAACGGTGGCATCAATGAGAGTCCTAAATTACCCGACGAAGATGACTCAAATCAAAGCCCTACGCTTTTCAAAAGTCCGAGTAACGACGGGAACTCAATTCAGGAGCCCCCGGCCAACAAACTTACGTCATTGGCACGCGACGAAGCTGACGCCAAAGCGGAGCCAGCAGCCAATCAACAACCGGGTGATAATATTTTTGCGCCAATGGAATTCGAGAACGGCGATGACGAATTAATGGCAACAAGTAGACTGTTGGACATCGCACAAAAAGTAGACGATGTGTCATCGTTGAAAGACGTCAAGGATTCGTCGAATACCGTGAAAGAACGGCCAAGTCGACCAGCTAAATCCTTAAAGGAGTTAACAAACGGTATGTTCAAATTTCTTATTTATATATTTAAGCTCTAGATTGACGGTTAATGCATTAAAAATAAAGTTAATGACTGCATGTTGGAACTGGGAATTGATATAAATTTAGACTGGTTTTATACCCTTCATGGCCCTTTATACCTTAAGAGTTATAAGAGTTATTCATTGTTAACTGGTGTCCTCAGGGACGTTTTGACTTGGGGACGTTTTGACCCGGGGACGTTTTGACCCGGGGACGTTTTGACCTGGGGACGTTTTGACCTGGGGACGTTTTGACGGGGGGACGTTTTGACCCGGGGACGTTTTGACGGGGGGACGTTTTGACTGGCAAGCCCGTCATTTCTCATGCCAAGAATCTTCTTTCGCTAGAATCATCCATTTCTTATTTTACATTTTAGATATGGAAGTAAGACGGACATCAAAAGCATTCCTAAAATCAACAACCATTCCTTCCAAAAAATACAGCGAACAATCGGAAGACATCGAAGATGAATCGAACAACAATTGGTACAAGATGCAATCGTTGGAGGATCGTGTCGTAAACGAGGGAACCACGGCGAGAGCCGGCAAAGACGTCGGCTACTACAATGGTCAGGAAGTGAGCGTGGTTAGCCCAGGTCAACTGCAGTTACTTCAGACGGAGTATCCCAGTTACCCAGCTTACCTTACGCCATTGCTTCGAACCAATTTTACCAAGAAAGCGTAAACACGGATGGCATTTAGAAATCGTGTGAACTGATGGTGTTCTGGGTTTAATTGTCGAATTTCCTCAAAATGGCGAGCCGATATACGAGGATTACGAGGATGCAAGAACTCGTTGAGAATGTTGTTGGTTTTAAGGGATTTGGAAATAGCAGAATCTATGAAGTACAGTAATCCTTAGGCCGGTTGTATCAAGCCCGTTTAGTTTAAACGGTGGATAAGTCAAAATTAAATAACACTCTTAGATCTCTCTTGAGTGAGTCAACTTGAATATTATGCACTGAATATGTAGTAAACAGTATCTTTGTATCAAGGTTAAAAGCATTTAGTTGTCTTGTTGAAAAAAACGATAGAGTTGCTTTCTATTTTGAACTTTTCCACAGTTTAAGCTAAACGGGCTTGATAACCGGCCCCTGAACCTTCAATCGACGTACCCAAGCATTTATCACAAATACGTATAAATATATAAATATATACCAATTGCTCATATGTTAACTATTTGGTTAACATATGAGCTCAGAACGGTTGTCAAAATAGAATTCCATAATTCTAAATCCAACATTTATTCAATTATATCTCTTGCTATTCTTTATGAAAACATGGATAATAAAATGAACATTCATTTTATTATCAATGATGAAACTATTCGAAATTTTGTGATTATGTTTTACGGTTATAAAAACTATAGCTTGTTTCAACCATTTCAACCGAGAAACAGATTTTTACTCAGTGACAACTAGTCCCAGAGTTTTCCAGCCATTTCAGATCGCCTGGTATATGAATTGACTGTATTCCACATTACGGTGTTCTTTTTGGTAATTTTTAAGCAATGAGTTCAGAATCTTAATTTCTGCGGGGCTTTCTAAACTAAAGATTGTTCAAATTTTATAAGAATAGTCAATAGTTGAGGAATTGTAATAAACACGGTTGCGTTTCTCTTTGCTATTTTGTCTTTTTTTTGTATGCAAAACATTACTCCGACCCTTTTAGTTTAATTGTGAACAAATGGTCTTATCACTAAAGACAATTTGATGTGAGATTTCAACAAACTTTTACAAGAACGATAAGAAATTACGTACATGAAACAGCAGACAGTCCTACAACGTATTACGACAAACAAACACAATTTCGACGGAAGAACAGAACTGCTAACAACGAACAGTTGATCTTAAAAGGATACGATTTTCCACATGCTCTCACGTTAGGTACCAGTCCTCCAATCGTTCTACCCGATCGAACAATCCATGGCACGCAACGCGATCGTTTTGAGATCCACAACCTGACCGATATTGCAGGGGGAAATTGGAAAGCAGTTCACATTCCCGACAAAGACATCTCGGCGATGCTGAAAATTGCCAATGCAAAGGATGGCAAGACGGTATCGATGGATATTCAACACAAAGTAACGAGCTCACTGGACGATGAAAACTCTGGGGTAAGTAGGTTACCTTGGGTATTCTGTATTGCTTCTGATTTATCCCTAAATATCCCCTATTTGATCACGTTCTACTGTATTTTTCATGAATGAATTTGCAAAAAAAATTAATTCTCTACTGAGGTGGCTGACTTGACATCAAATGTAGCAATACAGTAGCATAGCAAGTGCTTTGAACTGACAAAAAATGTAGCGTTTTGGAACTGCCATTTGCAGTCGGCGTTTAATCTTCGTCAAGAGAGTTTGTAGTTAATAATGGGCAGCCCAGTCGATGACATGTTAATTTACTTTCATCCAACTGAGAACTGGTTCACAAGCCTCTGCGGAGGAAAGTGGAACTGGTTTGTTCACCATTAGGGCCTGTTTACGTGGAGCGAGTTATCCCGGCTAGGCGAGGTGAAAACTGCATATAATGAAAGACTAATCAGGTTAAGCCTTTGATGTGATGCGCTTTTTACCTCGCCAAGCCGGGATAACTCGTTCTATGTAAACAGGCCCTTACTCTGGCAAAACGAATGCATGGGAGTCACGTTGAGAGACTTAGTGGCCCTACTCATATTATATTTATAACTGTGATCAAAATATAACTTGAAATATTTTAGGCTGCGATTAATCATGAGTCCATTCCTTTTACTTCGTGTGTTTTTATTCTAGGATGAACTACCAGTTGAGGTTCATGGTCGTGTTCATGCTTTTCAACACGTTATGAGAAACAAAACGAAGAACATGACGGTTGGGAGACTCATTATAGCCTCGGAGAACGAGCACAGGGGAGATGAGGTGGGGTCATTACACCCCACCAAACCCTCCGTGATGAAGTTGAGGGGCTATATGAAAGAAGAGGGGCCAAAAAATCGCGAAATGATTCATCGAAAAAACCCCATGAAACCTTCGCTGATTGTCGCCAAGGTTTCGGAAGACGACGATGATGACTCGGAGGATCTGCCGTTGCGAAAGCTTCCGACTCCGATCGTGGCCTCGTTAAGAAAAACTCGAACAAGGATCAAACCCGGGGCAATGCGCAGCGATATCCTAGCCGGGATTATACACCCGGCTAAAAATCGCGAGCTATTTGTAACCTCTTCCAAAACTGCCTCGAAGAGTCCCAAAAAATCAAATGTGTCACAAGGTGAATTGGCCAATAAAAATACAGCAGCCACTTCTCCAGGACGTGATGACCCGATGGTGCTTGAAAAAATTAAAGCTCTTTTGTTAAAATCAAGTTCAACTCCCAAGCCAACCATAGTGAGCTCAAAAGCACCAACCAAAAGCGAATCTGAAAGGGAGTCGTCGGCAGTTGTCCTTCGACATTCTAAACCTGGCAACCAGAACAATGTGCCTGCAAGCAAGCCTAATAATATTCCACCCGCAACTCAGAAATATAAAACCTTTCCTACCTTGAAGCCAAACCAAGACGGACTTTTTCTGCCGTCAAAATTTGCTCGTCCAACAGACGCTTTCAGTAACCATGCATCGGTGCTGAATCGAATTTCTGAGCCGAAACGCGACGCACTTTTGATTGGAATTATCAAGGCGTTGCTAGCCCGCGATCGGGGAAAACCATCTAGTACCAGTCCCATGATGAACGGCGCGGCCTTGGGTATGCCACATTACAACCGCCAAGCAATCTTGCAAGGTTTGCAGAATTTACAAATGAGCAAAACCATTGCGCCTGCGGAGAGCGGTGCAACGGTACCTGGCGAGGACCTCGGCACAGGTAACCCACCAATGCCTGGCAAGAATCTGGATGAAACGTATCAAAAGGAAAGGGAACAGGAAGTCAAAGAGGAACTTGGTATGTTTACTGAATATTAAACAAGTTTTTGAATATTAGTTAAGACAAGTTTTAAGTAAGAAAAAGTAATCATTTATTCCAAATTTAGTGAGATTTTGAAGGTGTGTTTACAAATATTGCAAAAATGCCAAACATATACTACTGCAAATCATGCATACCTGGTGTTCACTAGAAAAATTCACACCACTTCTGCAATTGAAACTTCACATTTCACAGAATTTCTCAACTGTATTGTTAATTGTTCCACGTGTAGAACTTAATGTTTTTACAAACGACAGTAACAAATGCAAGATACTTCAATTGAAAAAGCTTTAAGAAGTGTTTACTGAGAAATTTTGATACGTATATTGTTGTATCTGTTATACAGTCGTACCCTTTATTGGTATGTTAAAGATGAATATTTGCAATGAACAGAATACTGATTTTTCTAACATGTTTTGGCGTGTAGGAAGAGCAAACGAAGAGGTTTTGGAAGAAAAGAAAATGAGGCAAGAGGAGAGCCAAATATTGGCCAATTATGATCACTTTCAAAACCCCGAATCACGCGCTAACTGGGGAAATGTTGCTGGACGAAACCCAGTAAACAGCCAGACGCCAGATGGACAGACTCTCAGCATGTTAGGAACTCAGCAACTTGATATGCTGGCAGATAATCCCTCCACAACGAGGTAGCGCTGCTCATCGCTGTCAGTCGCGCGCGTCCTGTTACGGAAGTTCTCGACAATCACAATCCACAATCCACAGCACGGGATTATTGAAAATAATCTGTACTCCATTTTTGAAAACGAAAATGTCTCTAAAGTAGGATAGAAAAAATCATCTCCTTTTTCGGACTCAAAAAATCCGTCATCCAATATGAAGAATCTGAAATATCTATAATCCTAAAAGCCTAGCACAGGGCCTTATTATAGTACTTTTCACAAGAGTGCGGACAGAAAGGTCACTGACATGTAGTCTAGACATGAGTCTGTCGATATCAGGCCAACCAGAAATGGCGATTTTGCCGGAACAGTGAACATTTAGATTATCCTTACACCGGCACGGCGGTCATGCAGTGACAGTGAAACGCTAACGGCGATACAGTTATTGTATCCAAGCCCTGGATGTCAAGTAAAAAAAAAATTACTTCACTAAGAGCACTAAAATTAATCTCAGCTGGTTTTTGCCTGGTGAACTGTGATGAGAATATTAGAATATACCCGAAACATTTTGAGTTTGTGAAAATTCGGAATAACTAGTGATACAATTTTGTATCGTAATACCGGGGCCAGTTGTACAAATTTTGCGTAGTTGAATACGATTCCGTCACTAACTATAGCCAAAAGTATTAAGCAAAGTTACTAAAGTTGCTTGAAGTTAATTGCGCCACTTTCCAAAACCAGCCCTGAATTTCTGCTGCATACACAGAGCCACCTTAACAGTTAACACGGAACAAGATGGCGGCAACGTGGCAACTTCGCTGATTGCAGTTTAAGACTTCAAGTGCCGTTTCAGCGAATGATTTCGACTTTGTTCAGGTTTTTCGCTCTTCGAGAAAATGCAAGACAATATCTGAGAGTTATTTTGCCATGCCACGCATGGAAGGCGCCCTTTGGAAATGGACAAATTATGTTAGCGGTGGGTATAGTTCAGTATTTTATAAAAAAAATGGTGCAGTTTAACTTCACGCTGAGCTCGTTTACACAACCGTTTATTGTTTTGAAAAGCTTAAAAAATAAAACTTTAATTTAGGCTATGACAATCTCGTTTGCCAAATATTACTGTAATGTTTTAATTTAGTAATGTACCACTACCATTATTATTGAGATGTGTGCTCTTCGAATTAGTAAATATTAATAAATTTATTCTAAAAATACTTATTTATTCACGCGTTTATGTTTAATATATAAATACACTAATTATGTCTCTCGCATTTAATACTAAATTGAAGGCAAATGAGGTATTTTATCAACAGCAGGCAATGTTATATAATATCTGTTCAATTAAATTAATGTAATTTACATGTTTGTAATAGTTGTTAGTTGATAACCTTTGCCTTCCATGACATTCACACTGTTCATCTATTAACTTTAAACACATGGCTTTAAGTTGTTATAAATACTGCAAAAATTGTCCTTTGACACTGGTAATCTCCTAATCTAACAACTGGATAGTGAAATTTCCAACCTAATTCCATAAATTCGGTCAGAAGTGGAAACAGGAAATCCAATCCAACCAGGAACTACAGTGATATAGCAAGCTGGCTAACAAGCATCATACAAATAAATCTTTAACTTGAAGAATGACTAAATTAAGTTGAGCAAAATTTACTTGAGTAGAAGACTGGAAAATTCATACCCATTCCAATAAAAATGTCCAGTCCTGAACAAACCTTTTTGCTTGGCTGAAGTATTGTACAAACGTCTGGGAAGATATAATATTTAGGACTGCATATTAGTTCCAATAATCTTCACTAGTCAAACAACAAGTCTTCACTAAATGATATGAAGGCAAAATTACTTGCAACAATAATGGATGTATTCTTTATACCTCTATCCACTGTCAGGAACAATCAATTGATACATGATGGTACATGAATCACATTTTTGGTATTTCATGGTCCATATACTAAATTTATAGTTGCTACACATCACCAGCACAATACAATACCTTGCAACATCAGCACTTTTAACAAATACAGGTAGCTGGATTAGCTGTCCTTTTCAAAGAATATTTTCAATGATTTATTTTTGGATATTAGGTTGGCAGTTGAGATGGTTTGTCCTGGATTTTGGTGTGTTGTCCTATTACAAATCTCAGGATGATATTAAACTGGGATGTAGAGGATCTGTGAAAATGGGCTGCTGTGATGTTACAGGTTTGTCTTAGTTTCCAAAACACATGCTGTAAAAAATATAAACCTTTTCTTCTCTCAGTTGAGAGTTTCCATTTAAGAGTCAACCCCTGCCTTGTCAATTGTCTTTTCTTTCATGATGGTGGGCTTTTCAACAGTTTATGTTTCTCAATATTCAACAGCCCAAGTTGGTGATGCTTTGCGAATCAATTTGAAATTCCCCCCAGATCAATACATGTACATCAAAGCGACCACAGCCAGTGAAAGACAACAATGGCTTGTGGCATTGGGTTCATCAAAAGCTTGTCTTACACAAGGAAATGTACCAGAAAAAACTAATAAAAATAATCAGGGTAAATAAAATTGGTTTTTTGGATGGCAATTCTAATGCCTTAACCAATTGCAGGCAAATAAAATTATAGGATTCAAGGTTGCTAATTTAATTTCTTCTATTATAGTTGAAGTTCAGGCACCACCTGAGCAGACCCTCCATGAAAAGATGTCCGAAATGCATGTTTGCCAAAACATTTTGCTGGATCAAATTAACGCCATCAAAAACTTATGCGAAGACAAAGAGAAATCACATGTGAGATTAGTTTTGTGATAAACTATTTATAAAAATTTGCATTTCCTTTTCCCAAATGAAAAGGTGTCAAATTTCCGTCGTGACCTATTTCATGGCCCGTACTTTCTTTTCTTTTGCAAATGTTCATTGGTTTTTGAAATTATATTGGTTTTTCTTATAGCAGGGCAAAAATCACGGAAGATCAAATTTAACATTTTAGAATTTAGTGAAAAACGTTCAAATAAAACACAAATATACAGTTTAAATTCTTGCTTACATAGCTTGTGAGAAAATTCTTTGAGTATTCCAGTATCGCGAATAACATTCTGTTGTATTTTCACTCGTCTTTTTCCTCGCCACACGCAAAAATATCTTGAAAACCTGACTTTAAAAAATCAAGCGTGAAAAAGCCATTTCCAAAATGTGAACATCAGTTTTCCCGCCATTTCTTGATTTGTCACATGTCACCCGGTGAACTATAACAACAACTGGAATGTTAGGGACGATTAACGCTCATTCTTTTTAGTTCTTGGAAATACTTGATTGTGCTGTATATGATAATATGAAACTATTTGCCGTAGTTGGAAACTTTAGTTAATAAAAGGGTAATTTTTAAAAAGTGCGAAAATGGCCGATAATTTGGCCAATGTCTTGTTTCTTGGTACATCCAGTTACCTACTCAGGAACAGTCACAGAGGCTAGGTGGGGGGGGGGGTTATTCATGTTAGCACACTATAGAAACCATCGATTTCAAAAGAAACTAATAATGCTGAGCGTGAATATATAAATATTTGCCCCCCCCCCACTTACGGATCTTTCGCAGGCCCTGATCAGTGTTTTGTCGGCAAATACGTCACAGGCTATATCGTATGTCTGTTTCTAGGAATTCCACGAAGCCGCCACTCTCCTATCAGCGACATGTGATGCTTTTCTCACGAATTTAGCGGACTGTGTTAAGATTGCTGAACACAAGTTTGGTTCAGGTATACACACCGATGCCCTCATTTTGAGCTGTTTGTGCGAAGATCAAGAATTTTTGTATGGAATCTTTTGTGAAAATACCTTTGTTTCATTTGTTTATGCCACTTTAGGGACACCACTCTCTTCTCCGATATCTCCTCTTGCTTCTGCACACAAGGTAGTTGAAAGCATACTCATAAAACATCTCAAAGATGATAAAAAGTTTCGATTTTAATGCATTTCAATTTTCTCTGTAGACTTTCAGTAGACCAGGCATTAAGCTATCAAATCAATTACAGTCAAGAAAAGCGGATTCTAGGTAACCTGCTATTTGAGTCGTGGTGTTAATCGAGTTTCATTTTGTTTTATCTTATTGTACTTTACGGATATATAAACAAGCATGTAAACAGCTTCTTTATATCAACAAATAGACAGTCAAGCAATCAAAACATTTTTAGACAGGCAGCCAGCCATGTTGCCTTTGAAAGAGACAGTTCAGCAAACCATGCAATCAAAAGGAAGCCAGAGAATTAAATTATCATTGCAGTCAAATAAATAAAGAAATAAGCCATCTGTAAAATAGAAAGACAAAGAAACAAATAACGTTAAGAAACAACAAACAAATAGATGAACAAATATACAAACAGTTAGTAAAAGATCGAGGGATTCAGATAGAAAGACATAAAAGATATCTTATTTGGCGATAACTGACTACCTTCCATTGTTTCTCTCAACAGATCATCTCCAAGTTCTTCATCACCAAGTTCGACCGGTTCTAATCAAAACAGTCCGTCGTCTTTTCCTGGTAATGCTTGTTGTTGTAAATGTGAACGAACACATTAGCATTTAGCACATCAACATTTATCAACTGTCCTACATTTTCTCCACGCACATGCATAGATGAAGAAACAATCGGAAAAGACGAAGCAAAACCCGGCCTTTCTGTGAAAGCAGGACAGAACGAAGTCACGAAAGATGTGGCGTTGAATTTAAGCGAAGCTTTCTCTGATGCAAAAGAAATAACGATCGCACCAACAATTTTTTCTACCGCTCCAAACAGGTAATGATTGTGCTTTAGCTTTACGATTTGTATGATGCATGGGATGTGAAAAATTAACTCCGGGCAGTAGCGTAGCCAGCCTGTCGATTTGTCATGCTTAAAAAAATACTATAGTTTCGCTACTTTCAAGCATTTTTTCAACGGTTAAAACAATGAATATCAAGTTTGGTTGCGCTATGCAACTTTGGTACAACCAACTCCAGGCTGATTGTTTTATTTTCTTTAAGATTCAAAGGAGTTGAAGTGTCGGAAAATGGTGAGATACCGACTAAGTCATTCCTACTGGCTTGTAATTCAATTCTTCCAATATTTGGTAAGTGCATTGAATGAACAATGAAAAGACTGTTTTTTTTTCTCTTATCATTTCCTTTTAATATTTTAACCCGTAATAATCCAGTCTATGATACACATCCACATTGTTTTTGTAACGTATACAAATCACATTTCGGAAACATTTCATATGTTTGTGAATCTGATAAGGGACATTTTTGCTTGAACATTTTGAAACTAGTATCAACAACATCGTTTTCACTTGTGCATGGGCAAACAGGGAGACATTCTTGGAAACATCGCAAATCACAAATGTTTTTCTAGGAGTGTTCCTTAATGTTCCTTAATGTTCCTTACTTTGCCCAGGGGGGTAACCCTATCGTATGCTTCTCGTGTCTTTTTGTAGCTATTCGAAGTAATAATGTATATATTTTGCCTAGACGTGCTTGGGCCGACTGCCTTCGCTCCAGTGAAGCTTGATATCAGTGGAAATATTAAGGTAGCTATGATTTGAATGTGACATTGTTTTAACTACGAAACTGAGAACGTCGCCAAAAGGCAACTCGACTCTTTCAAAACCCCCTGCATGGAAATATGTAACCTTTACACCAAACCACATCTTGCTTTAAAAATTGTCTCGTGTTTTTATCTTTTAGAAATTGACATCAAAATACGACGGGGACAGAGAGTCTTGTTCTACTCTTCAATCAATGATAAATGTCGAGATTCACTCTAATACATGTACTGTAAAGAACTCGGCTACCGATGCTCTCTTGTGGCTGAAAAGGTATCTTCATCCAGATGTTTTTGCAGCATTGTATAATGATCGCAATTTCTGTTCAAAAGAAATTGTATCTGGATGTTATCCCTTAATGCTGGTTTCCATTTAGTCGTAATTGTCGCGAACAAGTCTTTTTCACTCATGAGAAATAGTACTGGATGTAAATTTGTCTTTTTTTTTCGTATTCAAATCGGTCAATGTCGACTGCACATACATAGGTTACGATTTCTATCAAATCAGCCACCTTGACATATTCACGACACTTACGATTAAATGGAAACCATGCAGGCATTAGTTCAGCCAGTTCTTTTGTTTTTTACAGCGAGTTGCATGAACTGCTTGAAAAACTAAAATCCGGTTCGCTATTTTTAGAGCGTTACAATTCACGAATGCATTTCTAATGGAAATTAACAAAGGAGAAAGAGAATTAGTTGTGGTTGCATGTAAGTTTGTTTCTTTCATAAAAGCCTTGAATGAGCTGAAGAATGCATGGTACTGCAACTGGAAAGTAGGGGGGGGGGGCGTAGTAGGGGGGGCGTAGAGGTCGTCCCAGCCCCAATATCCTTCTGTTATTGTGTAAATAGGTAAGGAAACTCTTCTCTGTTTCAGCTAATGCATACTCAAAAACCTTACGGAAATATCACGGCTGGATGGTTCGAGGGGTATTCGCGGTATGTAAGAAAGTCTAAGATTATTAGTACTCGTATATGTCAGCCTACCACAACAAGGTTAGTTTCGAACCCACCCCCCCTGCGCGCGTTGCGTCCGGCAAAAATTTCTCAAAATCATTTATTCAAACCTCCGAAACAATATGGCGCATACAATATGGCGAATACAAAATGGCGGACATAAACCGGAGGCCACTGTGGTGGTCAGACGAAAATACTTAAAGAAATACACGAAAGAAATACCTTTGTTAGTTTAAAGGAAAAGTGTAGGCATGATTCCTCGTCTCATATCCTACCCGAGGAATAACAAATAACATTCATGATGTACTCTGTATGAGCGAAATGAGGTCACGTCGGGTGATGGGAAAGTTGAAGTAATTGTTGACGACTTAATGCCCTGTTCTTCATCTTACTTTTAAAACGTATTCTGGTTCTTGGATGGTCAAAAGGTTTCGGTAAAACTCTTTAACATCCGATTGGTTTGGAATTTCTTTGTTTGCTGGCGGTCCACGTATACATTAACGTTGGTAGTACACAGAGGAAATGCTTAAAATACCTAACGAGAGTTCTTCTTGAAATGACACTGAACTTCTTCCAACAATGGTCTAATACTGTTACTTACAGTCTTCAGACTTATTATAGTTGAAACAATGCTCTGAAGTACTCGAATAAGGAGTCATGTTTCCATATTTCCCCCGCCGAGATCTTCTTACAAGATTAGTTTATAATGTGTATAAATGTGCTTGCCTGCAAAAAGAGATCGCTGCTGTAGGTCGTATACCTTTATAAATGTTTATTTATAAATATTCCTCAAAATTCCTAAATGTATAAAACGAAACAACATGAAGAAATTAAACATTCTTCCAACTAAACTTAACCAACTGAAGTTTATAAAACTTGACATGTTCACGCTCAATTCACGCACAATTTTGTGAATATAAGTTACAGCCACAAGTGCGATTCTGAATATCAGACTTACAAGTCTTGTTTCAAATGCTACTCGCTGTCAATAACTAATTCTATGTATTGGCATTCGCGCGTAATAAGAACATTTATGTCCAAGTATACAAATTTGCTCTCATAATGGGATGAGAGAATTACAAACACTATTCAATGTACTTTTTTAAGAAAGTTCTAGATTTATATCAAATTAGACCGAGAGTTGATAGTCATTGTGTGATATTCGTTTTAAAATATATTTGTCATGTCATTAATGGCGGAATACCCGATGTTAGAATAATATGGGACGACTTCGCCAGTTTGCCAAGAACAACTTACCAGCCTTACCTTAGCTTTATGAGTAGTCGTCTGTGCTCCCTGTACATTTTTAAATTTGCAAACGAATATTCTTCAAAGAAATCTACCATAAATTATGATTAAATAGTTTTAAGATATCTGAAGTCGGTTTATTAGATGTTATAACATTGTAATTCGCATTGCATCTGGTTGGAGTTACTCAAATACTGATAGACAATTCAAAGCTATCTTTTTATTTATTAATGAAAGGAGAAACTGTGAACAAGTATTGCCCTAAACAACTGTACACACTTGAACAGTTGAACTGTATTTATCTAAAACAAATACTTGTAGGGGAACAATTTAACAAGTAGGCCCAATGCTCATTGCGCGAGTGGCAAGCGTTTTAACGCATTAACACAGTAGAAACGTTCTCTTACGTAACACTAACGTTTGTTGAAGCAGTATTCTGAATTTTTTTGTTTTTAATTTTTTTCTTTAATTTAATTTTTTAATAAGTTGGCTGTGAAGGCGGTGCCGTACTGGAAGGACTTTGTGACGGCCCTCGGTTCAACGGACAGCGGAGTTGCGCCCGAGCCAGATGTACTTCATGATATAAAGGACTTTACGGATACACTGTCCCCGCTTATCGAACGTATCGATGAATTTTATGCAATGAATAATTTAGACAATGATAATACTGTATAAACTGTAGTGTAGTTATTTAGTTAATATTTATATCAAATGATCCACCCAGCGTGGTTCTTCAAGTTGACAAAGTTGCGTGTTAACCATCCATTGTATGAGGACGAATTGAGGCCAGCGCTGAGCGCTAACTTTGCACTCAAATGACGCGTTCTGCGTCGGTATAATGGAAAATATGATTGCCAAATTATTAAACTGCTCGCCTCCTATTTGGTGCAAGCAAAACAAATCACGTTTTCAGCACAAGTTACCGTTTTAAAATGTTCTGATAGTCAACCAGTATTATACATACACACGGCTTCGTGTTATGATTTCAGTGCTTTTTACCCCGTTGCAGATTGCGTCATTTGTGTGGCAGAGTGTAAGGGCCATAAATTTCGTTGAAACTGCGGAGTCTGGGGCTAATTTTGTTTTTTGTGCCTTCCCTGTGCTGAGCTACATACACAATGACCCAACTGGAGTGCCTGCCTGTGTGAGGCTCGCAATGTCTTTGTCCCCTATGCCGCTATTTTATAGGCAAATTTTAATATATTTGTTTATTCTATGTGTTACATTTAGATTATGTGCACACGGTGTATAGCTTTTCTGTAGTTTTATTCGTATTATCTTGCCAAAGCGGACACGAACACTATCAATTTATGGCAGAAATTGGAGTAACCTTAGTGTAATGAAAATATTTTCTTTCGAACAATGTCAAGAAGACCTCAAAACAATCAAATCGAAAACGTTTTCGAAAACGCTTGATGCCTTTCTACAACTAAAACCTAAAGAATTCAACCAACTGGAATTAGGTCAAAATAATTTCAAAACAACAAGGGCAACCAAAAGGTAATATTAATTTTTCAGTTGAATAGTAAAAATTCTTGAGATGGTCCAAATGGTACAAATTTTATGGTTGGCCCTCTAAAATGCTTGTTTGATATGCAACTCCAAGGCTATATCTTCATAAAAACACGATTATATTGTATTCCCATTTCGGCTGGAGTGACATATTTGGATAGACAAATTGCATTACGTCATTGAACGAGTTCTTTGCATTTTTATACATGGTAAAGTATGTAAGGAATTTGTTATCGTGATTAACGACAAACGCAATACAATTATGGAATAATTATAGATATTGCAATGAGATAAGAGTTACAGACACGCGAGACAACCTTTGTTTAGAACAAAGCGAGAAATTATCTACAATGTTAGACAATATAAGGAATAATACATAACGATTTTAACTGATTCATTTTTTGTATTGGTGTTTATGCGTAAGAAAGACTGACTGTCAATTTGCCAAAGTGCATTTGGAGGGTCATGTGCCAATAAGACATATTACTACATGAAGTTCCCGGCGCCGGCGTAAACACAGTTTTGTGTGCTGGTTTTGTAGAAATAAACAGTTTCAAAACGCGAACGACATATATACACGACTTCTGTTTTTCAAAGATTTGCTGAAACAGGTTCGTTCCCACAGTACAATATCCATACCACTTCACCACTTACGCACACAACTTTCAACCTCTTTGTGGTTTTCAATGGATCACTCTCAGACTCTTTGACTCTTTCCTTTGTGAACTTATTTCAAAAGCTTTCATGCTCCAAGTGTCTTGTTTTACATTACGTCATGTGAATTACGTCAACCTGACAGCGCGCATTCCGAACGCTTTGCCCTTTTTAGGGTCTGTATGGTGAATGGTCATTAACGTAAATAACGAATGCTCGGATGTTTGGTCAACGATCCTTTGTCGAAAGTGCATGCGGTTTTATTTATTTTTTGTTTATTTATATTAATTTGCAAAACTTCGTCAAATGTGGATGGTGTTTCCTAGTGAGCTTTCCGTTGCCCATTCTACTGAGCTCCTAAATGTACCAAAATATATATATTTATTGTCCTTCCATTTATATTATTACCATGAAAGTGATTTGCAGCACTCAGAAACACAGTCAGACAGGCGAGGCCTACTATACTGTCAAATGAAATCAATTCCCATTCCTTATCAACCTTATATTACATGATCCAGCTTATCCGAGGTTATAACCGAGATGTGAAATGACTTTGAGCCTTCAAAATTGCTTCAAAGCTTTTGGTGAATCAGACGTGGTACCTCAATCAAATACCCTGCATGCATAGTCGTTCGCCGTGCTTTAAAATTACAAGAACATCGTCATTCTATAGATCACACTATAGAAAGATTTCAATGGGAATTTGCTCACGAGATTGGTAATCTTTGATCAAGGTTTATAAGAATGAATTCGTCGACCGTCGTCATAAATCGGTATAATATAAACCCTTAATAACTCTTATAATCTTAATAATTCTCTTTTAAAAATCCTTAATCCACGGCAATGTCTTGCGGATTAATAATTTATCATCAAAACTCGGTCAAATTTATATTGAAACAGCAAATTAAGATAGACAGATTTGATTATATAAATAGTATTTTTATTTTTGTGTTATGAAAAAATATATATATATTGCGTACATTAAATATTTAGAATACGTTTGCTTTTAACATGGTGTTATATATAATTATATAAATATATCTAAAATGTTGGATTGTGATACTGTCAATCTTTTTATGAACAGTTCATTCTTTTCTGGACTTCGTTGAAGTATGAAACATACTTCTATATCAGTACGTTTTATTACTAAGTTGCATTGGGAAATACCTATCTACACTGTGAACTATATAATATAAACATTTACTTCGAATGCTTGTGTGATGTCTTTCGCTCTACTTTGAAAACTACAAAGATCTTCAAGTATGTTAAGTGTGCCATGGGTATAGACGTTTCTGAAGTTTTCTCGGACGAGCAAGCAGATAAAGGCTGTATGACTTATAAGAACAATAGTTGGATGTCTAGTTTATGTTTCTGAGCTAAGGTGTACACGTCATGCTTCCGTTATCTCACTTGCAATTTGAGAAAACTCGAGTTAGGTCCGTTTAGGTCCATCTATGATACATTATGACTCTACATATAAACAGTGATAATATGCTCACACTAACAGACAAAATCTATCCTTGTAGATCACTTTAGGCACAGCTATTTTCGTATAACATCCACAACGCTACTGCATTTTGTTGAATAAATTTTTTCTTTGTGGGAAACTTACAGTTACAGAATAGGCCTTTCATCCTATCCTCTTTGAAAGCAACGATTTTTCCGTTCGTGCTTCCACTAGTTTTCCTCTCAGACGCTTTTATATAATTTGATGCAATCTTTTCAAAGAGACCATGTTTCCACAGAGAAATTCTTGTCAAATTGTGTGAATTTTTTAGCCTATACATTCGCTTTGGAGTCATAAACCTGAGTTAGGATTGGCCTATACCAAGCTAATTATACTTGTAGTACTTACTATAAATATGTTTTGGATCTATACTATAGCAAAGGTGCTGTGGGGGGTATGTTCAGGACTATGCCCACCCTATGAAGTTCCACATCAAGGAATGGAGTTCTCTCGATGGTTCACTTCGTTGCGACTTTCATGACGTATCTCTGTATTCGTCAAGCCTCTGATTCGTTGAGTGCGGGCGTTAGTACAGGCCGACGAACTTTTGAAACAGCGGTCATCACTATAACCGGGTCTGTCTGGATACCAGTCTCGGAGGTGCTCGCCAAATGACGGTAACCCGAAGCCCATCCGGAGTCTTCCGACTCCGAGTGAAGCCTACCAATTCGTTGGTCACGTTTTGTGACGGGGAACGTGGCGAACCATTTATCTTGAGAGAGATCGGGCGAGCCTAGTCCAGAATCTTTAGAACTCGTACCATTCTCCGCGGCCTTGTCCTTTAGGGCGACGTTGACAACATTAGGAGGAATGTAGAAAGGCGACTGATGCGGAAGCCTGGGTTGTCCGCGTTTCAAACTACGACGCTTTCGTCGCCGACTCGAGGAACGTCGGATCTTGAAGGCGAATTCGTGCGGGTTACCGGCCTGCGATTCCTGCCCTTCAGCGCGGGGCCTGCGAGGTGTCGTTCGCGTCCGATGTACCGTCTCCCGCGAGGGTGACTCGGAGTAGAACAGGTTGAGTTGGAGCGGTCTGATGCAGCCTACGGTGGTCTTCGAACATTGTCTTGCCAACCAGTTTCTTGGGTTGGTATTTTGAGATTTTATCGACTCCGCAATTTTCTCCTCTTTTCCCAAAGAGCAGCCGAATGAAAGTCTAGCTTCGACTTGTTTTACTGTCGTAGCCCTGCGATCTTGTGGGGCTTTGTCAGCTAAATCGTCTTTTGCGGAGGTGTTAAATTTTTCTGGGAGTTTTTGCTCATCCGGTTTTCCTTCCGCTTCGTTAAGAGCTTTCGTAACTAGCTTCACGTTTGGACAAGAATAAAACCTAGCCCGCTCTCGCCGGCGGTTGCGCCTGGCGCGGGTCTTTCTCACCCGAGTTTTAGGGATGTTCACGCGGTTTCTATCGGCACCGCTTAAGCTGTCCGTATCAGAACTAAACGTGCCACGTTTGCGGATAATCTCAGTGTCCGTTAGTAGATTCTCGACGGAGCGCGTGGCGCGCAATTGTTGCTTAGGCGACAGACTGTTCGTTTCTATAAGGGCCAGCTTGTACCAGGCGCTGAGCTTTTTCTGAACGAGATCAGACTTTTCTCCAATCGTATCAGTTCGATCGCGGGGCTGGGGTTCTAGTGTTTCCACTTGCCCCGCGTTGTTTTATTCGGCGGCTCTGGCGCCAGCTTTTTCCTACCGGATTTACGGACCTGGGAGTTTCCTCCGACACTTTGGATCGTATCGAACGACGGTCGAGGGGTTGTTCTCGGGGTGCGTTGCTCTTTGGGCAAACTACCGTTGCTGGTCTGATGCTTCGGCGTACGCGGCGTTCTCGTTCTGCGCATTCATGGAAATTACACCTGGCGTTATTTTCCCCTTTGCAGGTTTCTTGGATTTGTGTCGTTTCAAGCTGAGCGTCGAAAAGAAGCTTCGCCAACTGGACGTCTTCTTTTTGCCAGTTTTTGGCCGCCTTCGTCGGTGAAATAGTAGAAATCTTGACCGCTTTTGACTCCCTTCCGTCTCGTTCAAATGACCATCCTCCTCTTCGTATTCCGGCAGCGAGAAATGTCGCCTGACTTCCTGGTGTTGACCAGTTACAACCTGGAGCTCAGCTTCAGTATCCGATGCGAACAATCGCTCGCCCGATAAAGTTTTATCCACAGTTTCTTTAGCCGGTGAAGGTTTTTCCAAAACCGGTTTTCTCGCTTCTAAAACCGGTTTTCTCGCTTCCAAAACTGGTTTTCTCGAATCCAGGACCGGTTTTCGCGGTGTGGTTTTCAGTGGAACAACGTTCATATTGTGGTCTCGCCATGGTTTTTTTGGGTATTTCTCGCTGTGGTATCTACGAAATCTGGGTTGGCCGTTCAAGTCCTCCGAAGATTTGGCCGTGTCCGTATCGTTGCCGCTTCCACCAGAGCGGGCTTTCCTCTCAGTCGTACCCATGCCGCCGTTGTTTCGACTCTTTTTTGGTACCAGTCCCTGTAACGCGGCATACAGATCATCAATGTCTTTAACCGTAGCTTTGGCACGAGTTTCCAACTCGCTCACATTTAGAAGAGACTGTGATTGGGTGACTGTTTTGTGGAGGTTAGTCACACCTAAATTACGTCCGTGTCTTTGTTGGGCCATGATGTGCCGTCTAGTTTTGGCAACTGAAAGGGAAATAAAGGAATATGTCATTATATAGGATGCTATTAGGTCATAACTCTATTTACTGCTGTTGTGTAACTGATGAAAAATCTTACTCTACGATTATACAAAGGAGTTGGCAAGCGTGCATTTCAGAATAAGTTCGAGAATGGTTGTGGTCGGAAATATTCTAGTGAAAAGCGCATTGACGTCAATTGGTGTTTCTTTCCTTGTTTTCCAAGTCACAATGAATGTGCACACATGCTTAGAATGTGCACAAGTGCAATATTCTCCTTTCCAGACGTGCAGTTAGGAACATACTTTGTTTACCGCTGCATGCAAAGATCTGTATTTGATCTACGTGGCTTAATCTGATCTCCCTGCACAGCTCCACGGTTTAGGGCTGCGCAAACCAAATTTCTTTAGCTTAAGGAAAAAGCGTAAACAAAGTCAACTATTTTTTAAGCTAAAGAATATATCTCTATTCTTGTACATTTCTTATTTTGAGTGTCCACTGTAGATAAAGGAAAATTGATTTGAAATGATGCATATATCGGCTTTCGCAATTTTTGTCAGAAAGATTTCTTAGCTATGTTGAGAATCTTTTTAAAAGCTAAACAATTAAAAGCTTTTTATTCTTACTTAAGTTTATCACAATGTCTTCTTAAGATTGGCCAATACAAAGTGAAAGATTGCAAAAATATATCTTCTATAGTTAATTGTTTAAAAGTCGCACTTTGAGACCATTTCGGGGCTTGTTTTCAAAGGTTTAGTAGATCTATTCAGCATTCTTCGCAGCTTTACAGATTTTGAACAGGTTTTAAGACCCATGAGATCCTTTGACCATAGTTGGGCTTTTAGTAAAAACATAAAAATAAGCTTTAAGACAGCATAATTGTTTGTTCTCTTACTATATATAATTATAAATCAATTTCAGAACCATTAAAGCTCCAAAAATTATATAAGTTTATAATTAAAATTTTAATTGCATGCTGTATTTATACGAAACCAATAGTAACTTGGCCTATAGCTATATTCTAAACTGAACTTTAGGTGATATTTTTAGTGGTTTTATGAGGTCATTATTGTTTAGAGCGCGCATTAATTAATTTTGTTTGTCAGTTTTGCAACACTCAGGTTGCCCTACGATACTTAAAGTTATATATACTCAATTGTAGCTGTACTGAAGAATGATCTTTTTAATCAAAGAGAGGTATATTTGAACGCAGGACGTAATCCCTTTGAACATACATACATAAAGAATTTCTTTAATATATATTGGTATTTTTGCTAATATTTTTTGCTGATAATGTCTAACTCGACCAGAGAGGTACAGGGAAATTATATCATTGATCTGCTAGATGTTACATTTTTCTAATCAAGATCTTAATCGTGTTGCAAGCATATTATTAATTTGAGAGTCGATTTGACGTTATGACAACTAGGCAATGTTTTCTGCAATTGTTTAAAACCCAGGGATACGCGGCTCGTTTTTTTCGAATTATGCAATTGGAACGGCTGATGCTCTTTTTTTTCGAATTATGACCGATGCTTCGAATCTATAAGATTTTAACTCCATCTAAACCATGAATTTTACCGGATAATGTTTGGCAAAATTCTTCCAGCAAGTGCATGACTTCTCGCGGGTACAATTTAGTTTATATTTGCTGAATATTGTTGCACTTACTATACCATGAAATAATGTTACAATAGTTGAAGTTAGCCCTCGTTTTAAATAGCTACTTGTTGCAAAATTCGTAAGAGAAAATACACATGCATATAATTTATATGATATATCTCTGTATGTAATATAGAATTTCCTGAAGACAAACCATCTTTGCGTACATATGAAGTTACCTTGATTGTTTTTTTCTTCGTCAGCAGCGAAATATTGTCTCAATTAAGTAACAAGTGCATCTTTCGCAAATTCAATATGCATCACGCAAAAGTCGTAATTGCGTCAAATTCCATGCGTGAAATTTCCCACAGAACCAGCGTTGTGTATAACGAAGCGAGTTTTAATCATGAAATGAGCATATTTTAAATTGCACCTTCGCTATATTGCTTTGACTTTCGCTCAAAAACATCTTAAACGTAATATTGTTACCAAGGATCTGGCAAATGTTTATCAAGGTCTCTATCGCTTTGTCTGTGATATTGCAGCCCATGACGAGCACTCTTAAAGAGTAGAATTAGAAAATTTCTACTTATGTATATAGATTTCCATAGTGCGAGCATTTGAACTTGAAAGATTCCCATGCAAATGCCACCACATACAGGTTTACAGTACGCTTGGAAAGTCTCCGAGGTGAAAATATGTATTTATGGTAAATAAGCAGTCATTACTCGAAGTAATTAATTCAAGCAACCCCTCGCCAGTCGTGTGAAAAGAGCTCCCCTATATTGCTTTAGTATCACATTGCATGCTTCGGGTTTCGATTAACATAACTATTTGTAACGCGTGCTGTCGACTGTATCATGTGCGAATACACTGTACTGTTGTGTTTCGTTTGCCCTAATTTGTTGTTTATTGATCGTTTATCCTTTGTTAGCCATATTGTTTGGCTTTTATGGCCCACACCGACTCATTAGATATCTCCATATACGGTCTCACCGGATGAATACATGGATATAACATGATTCATGCACCAAGTGAAATGCACTGAAATCAAATTGAATGTAAAACGTGTTTATGGAAAAACGAATTTTACTGCAGCTATTTTGATTGCCAGCTAAAATCATAGCGAAGTTATTCAATACATGCACGACTCACATAGCTCAGCTCGACCTCGTACTGTTTGTTTATAGAAATTTTATTTAGTAAAACATGTAGGTAGATAAGAATTTCAAGGAAGATTTAAAAGTCAAGCGATGACGTTATCTTTACTACTTTGAATGACAAATGTTTTCCGAGGCTATCTACTTGATAACAATGAAATTCCTCTCTTCATATAAACGTTTTTCTTTGACAGGCGATAAACTTTCCTTGACGACCGCAAAACAATCACATTCCCCTGTCTAATGGCTTGCACTGCTATTTAAAAGTTCCCCGACACGGAAACATGACGAGACTAGTTGTCAGCAGTAAACTGTGGTACAGGATTCCCCTAAATTCCAGCTTATTCGTGCGTCATTGCACGAATTGAAGATTTATCGTGTTATAGCATGTCATGTTTCATGTAGATCGCGTTTATGAAACCACTCGAGAAAGAATTTTGGAATTGGAACAATTGGTTGTAATTGTAGTTATTAAGTTGTAAAAGTATGAAATTGTTTTGTGTTCCCACATTTTGATACCATTCCAAGCATTTGCAACGCATGATTTTTACACTCGCAATTTTTCCCAGCCTTTTTATGATGTGGGAGTTTTGCATTATAAGCTGCTTAACTTAACACTCAATTGCTTTTACCTCACATGGTTTTTGCTAGAAGCATTGAATAATATATATGCTCGTAAAATGCTATCAAATAACGATAAATTAAGTGGTTCCCACGCATGTGTATATGTGCACCTCATACCTACAGTCTGCAAGACACTGAAGAGATTTTCACTGTCAATATTAGGAAACTTGTAAGCGAGAATATTTTGTGTGCATGAACGCATGTATTAACTGCTTAATTGATAAATCTCCATTCTCGAAGTTAAGTTTGTGACCTAATTAATTGGGCTATATATAGTACATATTAGTATATAGCAGGTTTCCCCACTGATTCTTAAAGCTTCTCTACAAAAGCGACAAAACCGATGTATTTATATGTTCGAATTTTGGTGGCGAACTTTATCTCGGTTTTTTATTTCATTGAATGATGTATAAATCTGTTTGTGATTTGCCGTCCGTTGCATGCTATTAATGTAATGGTTTGTGATTCTGCTTTGTCTGTTCATAAAAATATCAAAACAATGAGATTTGCTTCTGTCTGTGGTGTGCTAAAATCCTTCTAGATTTTTTACCAAAATAGAAAAAAATTTACATCGCATAATAATATATCAACCGCGAAGTCATATATCATATATTCCAAGTACATACAGATTTATAACAGAATTTTATACATAAACCCTGACCACAGTATTCGGTATATTTATATAATGCATCTTAGAAGGATGGATTGCTTTCTTGCGGTTAAACCATCTCAAAAGTCCTTACAAATCGAGTAAGGAACTCTAGTATACATTATACTGCATGGTTTTGAAAATGCCTTTTCGAGAATTTCAGCAAGGCTGAATTTTCAATTTTTAACTCGTAGTTCATATTCTATGCTATTTGATATTAACTTATTAATCGTGTACATACCCGTCTCTCTAGCCATGATCAGAAGTTCTTTATACAAATTACTCGAAGTGTTTATCATTTAACTTCGTAAATAAGTTTGTTCCTTTAGGTGTACTGATATACCACGGAGCATCTATCAGCATCGTGTGTGTATACACTTAGAGTCTTTTGAGATTGTTGCTATATTATTCAGAGGTTAGATACTTTGGCATTGACCTCTTAACCGGAAGGGTCTCTTAAGAATTGTATTCCATTACGTAAATACGAGGGTGGAATTAATTTCGGGCTCGTAGAAGATTCATTAAATAGTTGAAATAAATTCTTTTAGCTCATGATCTAATGTAAGAATATGCTTTGTATAAGAGACTCTTGAATCTTGTAATCAGATGGAGGTGCCATCGCAGCTGAGGAAAAACTGTTGATCAACGCAATGAAGTTCGATTCATTGTAAAGTTTATTTTTTTCCCTTATGAAGTATGATAGGTTTCATCGATTGTTCATTAAGTGCGTTTTTATAGCCTATTACGCGTGTTTAATCGGCAATAGTCTTTGTGTAAAAGACTTTTAAAACTGGTGAACACCCGCGACAAGAGCTAATTGAAGATTTTATAAACATGGAACCATTGTTTCTGATGTTCCTCAGTTGTAAAAACAGAACCTCGTGAAAAAACGTAATAATATATATCTATATATTTCAAAGAATTCATGTCTGAGCTAACCTGTTCGGTATGAATAATTCGCCACCAAATCACTTTAATGTTTTTAATTCTATCGTAGTTATAAATTCAGGGGTTTATTAAAAGCCCTAATCCTTGGAATCTATACGCGGAGTCAAACTTATGTTTTGCGTAGGGCGTAGGCATATATACTAGTAATTTTATTTCCTTTTTATCAAGAGAAGAGTTCATTGTTTTTCTATGCATATATGTATATAGCATATTGTTGGGAAGAGGTTGATTGTTAAGGATGCTTATGGTGGTTTTAATCGGACATATATGTATGTATACGCACTCAGGAAGCCCCGGAACATTGCGTTTGAACCCGAAATAGCTTCAGTCAAAAGTATTACGCTTAAGCCATTAATTATAAAGACGTTTTTCGCATTTATAAGAGACCCAGAGAGCAACAGCTTACGGTTATTGTGCATTTACACACAATGACCTAAACATCTTCAGGGAGGCATATGAAAACAGACTAAAAGAATTGTTTCAGTCAAGGAAAAACGCTTAGGAAAGCTAGCAAAAGACTCTAATCGATATTCTTCAAGCTGATAAACATTTTTAAAAACATTTACTCTTTTCTAGTTCCATACAATATATAGTTTAAATCTATGTATATACATGTACTGCTGCTATGATTAAGCAAAATTGTCGGCGGTTTAATAGTTCTAAAATAGGCTTTAAATTTGTATTTTCTGTGCCAAACTGCTTATTAAAATATTTTTACCACTGTTAAGGATAGAGGATTCTTTGTGCAGTTCGGTCATCTATTTCCGATCGCTGAAACATTCTTGCGCCAAATTATATGATGTAAAAAAGGTATTGATATTAATAAATTTGGGTGTATATGCATCAACATGATTTAGCAGTACCTAGGTATTTAAATTTATCCAAAATTTAGCTGGAAATTGGTTGAGAACATATTTGTACGAATTGCCTATCACAGTCAGTTTTATGATATGAATTTAGCTATGGCACACGTAATGAATTTTATTACTATAACCTTATAACACGCAAGAATATTTACATTATTTATGTATATTGTTTACATGCAATTAATTTGTCTCAATGACGAAAATCAATCGTTGCATATCTTGTCCCAGGCATCGTGATAAAGTTGAAAAACAGCACGGTATTGCGACATTCGTGTCTTCGGAGAATTTTCGGAGGAGGTCGGAATAATGATCTCTGACGTATGACATGCATAATTGGGTGAACTATGAGTGAACTAAGCAAATTTTTAAAATTCAGAAAATCGTTAACATGCGTTATGTTGCCCACAATAACAAGAATGTAAATAACACAGATAATCGTCGGGGAAACTGACATTGATGCAAATCAAGGCCAGACCTGATCATGAAATAGGAAATAGTTTATATCAGTCAGTTTCAATGAAGACGTATATTAGACAAAATGTTGTTCATAATTTCTGTAATAATTTCATGTTCAGTGAATCCTAAACACACGAATTTAATCCTCGAGATTAGGTTAGGTTTAGCGTTTAAAACCTAATCCTATCCTTATCTGAAGGATTAAATTCGTATATTTATAAGATTTACTGCATTTGGAATTATAACCAAGATTTCATAAACTTGCCTTTGCAACATAACTAGCGGAGAGAGAGAAGATACTCAAGGAAATTCTCAGGGAAATTATCTGAAGCTGTTTTGTAAAAAACTTGTCAAATTACCGCACGTAATACAAGCTAATCTATCAAGGCTGTTTGCTTACCCGTAGCTATATCAATTTTTCCTATTACTCAATGGGTTTGATGGCTTTCTTTATAACGAACGTTTGTTTGAGGTTTTTAAGTGGGTAAAAAGTGAGTGTTATAGTGTTGTAAACATTGTTGTAATTAATGGTTAATTCACTTATACCGCAAGTAGTAGACCCTATACGTGAAAATTTTTGTGGTTGGCTGAAGTGATTTTAAATATTTAAAACATGACCAGCGTACGTGTGTTTTATTGATCTGACAGGATATGTAAACTTGTAAACAACCACGATTAGATATTTGCTAATGCATTTGATATTTCCATTCGACGTGTTCCTATTTCGAAATACCATTGGAATATTTCATTAGGTAATAATGGATCATATCAGAAAAGGTTTCATAAGATTATTTTGCTTTGTGTTATTTTTGCTCTAATCTCTGGGCGGTCAATCGTGCCTGTTATGCCAGTGAATCCACAAGACCGCCTTTAGGGAGGAACACTTTGCTTAGCACTTGAATGGTTTTAAATATAAGTTTATTTAACTCAGGACAGTAATTCGTGAGCTCTGAAACCTCAAGAAATACGCGAGGAATGTCACTCTGTAAAAATGAGTTTGAACTTGTATAAATTTTGGAATTTGTATCCGGAAGATTTTGTCGTTTTTTTGATGATGTTTTTATGATTTTAAGATTAGATAAAAAAATAACTTGACTTATTTGGATTAAGACGATCTCTTGACGTAATATCCACTTGATTATTTTATCTATTATTCCTATCTGCAAATCAATGTTAAGTTTGTTTTTGTAAATTTTGCATGAATACGGTCCACTGTAGTTCGCAAAGGTTATTGTGGCAAGCCTGTTTTGCGTGCTTTAATTGTCAGGAAACTCACGGAAAAGTTTAAGTAATAAAAATTTTATCATGAATGAAACTAAAATAAGATAAGATAAACACATCCTGGTATTTATCAAACACCAGACAATCTAGAATTTTTATTACTTCAGGGTTCACACCTATACGATTGAAGCATCTTGTTTTTCTAAGAAACGCCTCGATGACCTCAGCGAGGTATGCTTTGACGTCTTAATCGTTATGCAAATACTGATGTATTGCACAACTATCTTCAAATTACGTCATTTCGTCTTGAAACGAAGCCGATTATCCGGCGACGTATATTCGGGTGTGTTCGACAATGCTCGGAGCTCTGACGTAACACATTACTCGTTCTGTTTTGAAAAGGAAACTGTAGCCTACTTGTAAACTCTTCAGCAAATTTTCGATATTTTGCTTTCCGTAAACCTAGTCTTGACAAGTCACGTACGTTTGACACTTGAGACATCTTCAGATGGCTTCGTTACAAACTGTTATATTTTGGGTATTTTTTAAACTATATAGACTTCCTGAAAGATAGCTATAAAGATAGCTGTAAAGGTCTCGATGTTTCAAGAAAATATAGAGCAAAAGACTTCTTTGTATTCCTGCGGTAGACTATAACAAACTTGTATGTATTTTGTTCATGATTGATACTATTTTGCAACACAGGCGACTGGGTTGTATATATTTAGCCACAACCACAACACTTATGAGATCGCTGCATGTGGATCGAATACAACAGTCAATGCACGGAGGCAAATATTTTAATAAATTTTAACAAGATGGCGGGCCAATCTT